AATCCTGGACCAGATGGATTCACAGGTAAATTTTACTGAACAGTCAAAAATTAACATCTATCCTCAAATGTTTTCAAAATATTGAAGAGAGAAAGCTCCCAAACTCATTTTTTGAGGCTAGCATTACCTTGATTACAAAACCAAAGACATTACCAAAAAAAAAAAGAAAAGAAAAGAAATTATAGGCCAATATCCCTGATGAACATAGATGCCAAAATCCTCAACAAAATATTAGCGAATTGAATTCAGCAATTCATTAAAGAGATCATACACTATGATCAAGTTGGATTTATTTCCAGGATGTCAGTTTGGTTTAATATCTGCAGATCAATTAATGTGATACATAAACATTATAAAGGATAAAATAAACAAAATAAAGGATAAAAATCATATGATCCTATCAATAGATGCCGGAAAAGCATTTAACAACATCCGGCATCCATTTATGATAAAAACTTTCAGCAAAGTGGGAATAGAACATACCTCAACAATAATGGCCACATATGACAAGCCCACAGCTAATATCATATTCAACAGAGAAAAGGTAAAAGTATTTTCCTTAAAATCGGAACAAGACAGACATCCATTTTCACCACTTTGTTCAACATTGTATTGAAAGTCATATGCACAGCAATCATACAAGAAAAAGAAAGAAAAGCCATCCAAACTGGAAAAGAGGTAAAACTGTAATTAATTGCAGATGACATAAAACTGTATATAGAGAACCCTAGAGATTCCACCAAAAAATTATTAAATCACATAAATGAATTCAGTAAAGTAGCAGGATACAAAATTAATTTTCAGAAATCAGTTTTATTTTTCTACACCAATAAAAAACTATCAGAGAAATTAGGGAAACAATTGCATCAAAAAACAAAACAAAACAAAACAAAACAAAACATAGGCATAAATTTAACCAAGGAGGTAAAAGACCTGTACTCAGAAAATTATAAGGCATTGAAAAAAGAAACTGAAGGATACAAATAAATGGATGCATATATTGTGCTCATGGCTAGGAAGAATTAATGTTGTTAAAATGTCCATACTACCCAAAGCAATCTGTAGATTCAATGCAATCCCTATGAAAATACCAATGATATTTTTCACAGAAGTAGAACAAATAATCCTAAAATTTATATGGAACCATAAAAAACTCCGAATAGTCAAAGCAATCTTGAGAAAGAACAATGGTGAAAGTATCATGCTACCTGATATCAAACTATACTACAAGGCTGTAGTAATCAAAACAGCATTGCACTGGCACAAAAACGGACACATTGATCAGTGGAATAGAATAGAGAGCCCAGAAATAATCTCACACCTATATGGTCAATTAATCTATGACAAAAGGCAAGAATGTACAATGGCTAAAGACAGTGTCTTAAATAAATGGTACTAGGAAAACCCGACAGACACATGCAAAAAACAAAAACGAAAAGAGAGATTAGACCATCTTCTTATACCATATATGAGTAAACTCAATATGGATTAAAGACTTAAATGTAAGTCCAAAACCCATAAAACTTCTAGAAGAAAACATAAGTAGTAAACTCTTTTACATTGCTCTTAGTAATTTTTTTGCGGGATGGCGGGGGGAGGATGTGTCTCCTCAGGCAAGGGAAACAAAAGAAAAATTAAACAAATGGATCTATATCAAACTAAAAGTTTTTGCACAGCAAGCCATCAACATAACAAGAAGACAACCTACTGAATGTGAAAGAATATTCCCCAGTGATACATCTGATAAGTGGTTAATATCCAAAATATATAAAGAACTCATACAACTTAATACCAAAAAAAGAAACAATCCAATTAAAGGATGAACAGGACCTGAACAGACATTTCTCCAAAGAGGACATACAGATGGCCAATAGATATATGAAAAAATGCTCAACATCACTAATCATTAGAGAAATGCAAAGTAAGACCACAATGAGATATCATCTCACATCTGTCAGAATGGCTTTCATCAGTAAATCAACATACAAGTGTTGGTGAGATTGTGGAGAAGAAAGAACCCTTGTGCACTGTTGGTAGGATTACAAATTGGTGCAGCCACTATAGAGAACAGAATAGAGGTTCCTCAAATAATTAAAAAAATCAAACTACCTTATGACCCAGTAATTCCACCTCTGCATATTTATCTGAAGAAATCAAAAACACTAATTAAAAAAGACCTATGTATCCCTACGTTCATTGCACTGTTATTTATAATAGCAAGATATGGAAGCAACCTAAGTGTCCATTAATAGATGAATGGATAAAGAAGAGGTAGTACATATATCCAATGGAATATTACTTGGACATAAAAAGAATGAAATTTTAGCATTTGCGACAACATGAGTGGACCTAGAGGGTATTATGCATAAAAACAGACACATTGATCAGTGGAATAGAATAGTGAAATAAGTCAGACAAAGACAAATGCCATATGATTTCACTTATATGTGGAATCAAAAAAACAAACCAACAAATAAAACAGAAACAGATTGATAGATACAGAGACAAAACTGATGGTCGCCAGATAGGAGGGGACTAGGGGACTCAGTGTAAAGGTGACGGGATTAAGAAATACAAATTGGCAGTTACAAAATAGTCATGGGGATGTAAATACAGCATAGGAATATAGTCAGTAATATCATAATAACTGTATGGTGTCAGGTGGGCACTAGACTTATTAGGGGGATTACTTTGTAAATTATATAATGTCTGTGCTTTACACCTGAAACATATAATATTGAATGTAAACTAATTGAAAATGTTTTTAATTTTTAAAAATACAATAGAAAATACAATTTTTGAATAAAAAGATTTTGATGTTTTTTCAGCTGAATTTTCTTTTTGTGTGTGAAATGAACAGATAAACAACCTTGTATATTCAAAGGCTCATGAATAGAGAATTCATTTATTCTTTTTGAAAACGTTTGAATATGTATATCAGACATTTGAAGGATCTGAAAGATATATACGTAGTTCATGACATTATGTAAATGTAATAAAGCAAGAAAAATAGGGAAAACAGGCTGTCTCTAATAGTGGTACTTCCAAGATATCTCTTACATCAGCCCCATTGTCAATAAATTAGAAAACAGCTAAACAATTACACAGTGCCAGCACTTACAGTGCCAGGGGACATTTCACCTACATTATATTGCCCACATATAATCTCATTTAATCCTCTATAACTCCATGAGAAAAGAGTTATTATCCGCATTTTAGATATAAGAAACTAAGGCATAGAAGTACTTGCCCAAGATATCATGACTAATTGATGGTTTAGGAGAGTGGAGTTTAATCTCAGGCTATTATTCTAACAAGACTACAAAGATATATTGGTCATTAGCTGCCTGAGGTTCTCTTCTTAATTCTAGATAGCTAAAGAAAATGAGTTTTGTTTAAATAGCATTTTCTCATATCTAGAGCTATTAGCTTTAAAGGAAGTTCTCAGAAAGTAGATTCAGTTACTAGAAGGGTTATGCCTACAGGTTGCTCTCTTTCTAAACATATATGTAGATAGGTAAATATATATAATATATAAATATGATAAATTTTACACCGTTGGGACATAATTCCAAACCACATATTTTTTCAAGTAATTGCATTATTTGAATTTAACTTCTATTTCCCTCTTTCCTTGTGAAAATGTTATACAAATAATACCAGTTTACAAAAAAAAAATTAAATTTTATATAGCTTTACGTACTGGGCTGGGCTAAATGCATTATGTGGATTGTTTACCAATGGCCAGCTGGTAAGTTATATAGACGTATGAAAATGGACATGGATGGCCTGAAATAGACCTTTCCCTGGGCACATTTGGCTGGAAGGTCTATTTTAAAAGAAAAACCTAAGATCACATTGCTTTACAAGTGTGACTCATGTGTTGTTAGTAACATTTCAAGGCAAGCCACTTAAAATGTGTCCTCAGTACTGATACTGGAAATAATCTTGTATCCCACATGCTTTCGAGTGTCATTTAAGTGCATATGTTTATGCCTTCATTTAACTCGTATCTACATTTGGACAGTACAAAGTACAGCATGTGATTAAGAGAACAAACTGAAATCAGAACTGAATTGAAAATCTTAATCTCCAACATTTCCTTGGGCAAGTGATTTAACCTTTCTAAACCAGTTTCCTCATTTGAAAAATGGAGATGATTCATATCTCAAGGGTAATAGTAAGAATTATACTAGTTGATGTATGAGTGCCAAGCATGTTATGTATTACGTGGAAAGCCTCAATAAATAGTAGGTAGTATTAATACAACAGCAACAATCATTTCTATGAGACTGTTGGGCATCAAAAATGATTGTTGAATGAAAACGCAGGAAACCAATGGCAGGGACTTCTTCATCTCGTTTATAACTGCTTGCCTGCCTAAGGACTGGCACCTCAGATGAGTGCACAGTCTACCCAATCGCCCATTAATTTATCAAATAAGGCAATCTGAAAAATGCAGGCGTATCTTCTTATCAGGACCCTGACTTTTGAACTGTAAAGGCGTGACAACTGCCCTTCGACCAACACTCCCCCATCGGTCGCCTGCTCATTTAAATGGTGCATCCCTTCGGGTGCAGTTGACAAAATTTGCGCGGAGCGCTCCCTGTGGATTCGCGGGACGTGGCTAAAGGCTCCAGTTCTCACCTGCGCAGGTGTCCGCGGTGACAGGGAGATCAGGGTAATTCGGGTCTGGCGCCTGGTGAGCGCTCAGCGCTGCGTGGGGGCTTCCCGAAGTCCCAGATCTAGGGGCTCTGTTGGCTGCTGTAGGTGCAGAGGCTGCTGCCGGCGCATATCCCCTTTCCCCTTTCGCTGGGTTCTCGGAACCCGCGGGAACCGACACCGGGAGGACGCCTCCCATCCCCGTAGGGCGCCACGCCCCCGTGCCCTGGGCGCGGGGAAATAAGCAGTGAGCGCCAGGCCGCCCAGGTAAAGCTCCAGATCAAGCTACGCGCCTCGGAGTCGCCAGTTACGCACAGAGCCCCGGCGACCGTGTGGCCATGGACGCGTCGCGGGGTATCGGCACCTTCGGGGTTTGGGACTACGTGGTGTTTGCCGCCATGCTGGCCATCTCCGCGGTCATCGGCATCTACTACGCCTTCGCGGGGAACAGCCAGCACACCTCCAAAGAATTTCTGACGGGTGGTCGCAGCATGAACCCTGTGCCTGTGGCGTTGTCCCTCACCGCCAGCTTTATGTCAGCCGTCACCGTCCTGGGCACTCCCACCGACGTCTACCGTTTTGGAGTCATATTCAGCCTCTTTGGCATCACCTACTTCCTTGTGGTGGTCATCAGCGCGGAGGTCTTCCTCCCGGTGTTCTACAGATTGGGAATTACCAGCACTTACGAGGTAAAGGGCGAGGGGGTTGGGGAAAGAAGGGGGGAGGATTTGTCAAGCTCCTGGAGGGATTTTCCTGGGGGCAGACTCACCTCCAAGGCGAAATCTCTCCCTGCCCATCGCTTTCCCCGCCCTCCCCTTTTGGGAAGAGGTGTGCTTTAAGGAGAAAATATACGGAACTTACTCTCAGGGTCTCAGTCAACAGAGACTTCCAAAGTGATCTGGACTTGTGCTCCTCTAGGGCCCTTTCTGCTTTGACGACTTTGATTCCAAGTCAAGGGGAAAGATTTTAAAACTTTTTATCTTGGTGGAGGGTAAGTCGTTCAAGTCTCAGCTCCTCCTCCCTAAAATGAATCCCCTTGTTCCAGGTCCTCAGCCACTCCTCGCTTTTCCAGGATTGATGGAGAAACATTTGTACTGTCCCCTTCTTCCCCCTCCACACACCCAAAGAGAGGCTGGTGCTCCAGTGGTTAAGGGGCGGTATCTCTTGTCTCACCTGTGTTTGAGACCAGATTCTGCCACTTACTAGCTGGGTAACCTTGGGTGACTTTTTCTTTCTTTCTTTCTTCCTTTCTTTCTTCCTTTCCTTCTTCCTTCCTTCCCTCCCTCCCCCCTTTTCCTCTCCCTCCCTTCTTTCCTTTCTTCTTTCCTATTATTATTTTGATAATAATAATTGCCGGAAAACTTTATTACTCCCTCCCTTCCTTCCTTCCTTCCTTCCTTCCTTCCTTCCTTCCTTCCTTCCTTCCTTCCTTCCTTTTCAACATTTTGTGCCTATTCTTCATCTTAAAATGGAAATAATAATACCACCTACTTCATCCTGTTCTTGGGAAGATTAAATGAGATGATGCAAGTGTAGCATTTAGAATAGTGTCTGGCACAGGGTAAGTGCTGATTAAATGTTGGCTGTAAGTTTTGTCGTGATGGTGGTAAAGAGGGTTATCTTGGAATCACTGGGAAAATGTGGCTGCAAGGTTCTTAAACAGCTCTACCTTGTCTGTGGAAAGATGATTAAGGGAAACCGTCTTTTCTATTGCATAGGTCCACTGGAATAGCTTTTCTCGAGTTGTCTGTAGGAAAGGGCTTTGCAAAGACCGTAAATGTTTGGTTTAGTTCAAAGAGCTATTGAATGGGAATGCCAAGGATAAAAGCTCAGGGGACTAGTGGACCTCTTCAATCAGGCACTAACCCAGGAGCCACATACACAAACCTGCAGATGTTTCCTCTCTAACAGACGATTATCCTCATTCTTAGCAGCTGCCTCTGTTTTTGAGTTTTATGGTGTTCGCTCCAATCTAAAGCCACTGAAAGGTGGTTTCCTAGTGAGGTTGGTTTAACTTGTGCTTTGAACAGGGCCCCAGTGGCACAATAAGTGTTGGTGACAAAGTACATGGGCTCTAGTAACATTATCTAGGACATGGCATCCCTGGGACACCATTGCCTTCCATTTAATCTGGTCATTGAGTTTGGGAGAGTTTAATCATCAACCCAGAAGTGAGCAGGATGGAATTTCTCTGTTTTGCTCAAACATAACAAACTGGCTGCCCCAGGCCAAACTCAGTCTTGAGTCTTTTTTTTTTTTTTCCTTTTGACCCTCATGTTGAAAAAAAAAATTAATTTAGAATTTAATAATGATGAAAAGTCAAATAAAACTTCAGATTCTGGCTTCTTTTGAAAACCCAAAAGGCTGGTGACATTGGGCTCACATTCCCTGTGGCTGCAGGAAGCCAATTTACAGCCTTTACTATCGCTCTCCATTTCTATATTGAGGCTTCATCATTGCGTTTGCATGGTTACTTTCTTCTATAGCGAAATCGTCATTTGCATTATGTCTTTATCAAAAATGCAAAAGGAAAAATGGACAGGGGCAAAGGGAATTCTTGTTTCAAGTTATGAGAGAACATATATCTTAGTGTAAGGAATATTCCAACACGTTAATATATGAACACCTGGTCAAAGCCACGTATTATCTCACAGGACCCATAAGCATTTGAGCCTGTGAGCTCTGTCCAAAACTCAGAAAGGGTTTGAAAAATATGGTGAGAGAACTTTAGTACTCACAGATGAAATGCTGCTCACTGATCTATGCCTCTCCAAGGCAGCAAGCAACATTAAGTCAACCAGAAACAGATTTCCCACACATTTCCAATGGTGGAGGCTAAGTTAGCAGGGTTCTAGCTAAATACTGGCAAAAAGCTAACATTTACAAAATGCTTAATACATGCTAAAACACTGGGCTGATAGTTTTCTATATGTTATCTAACTCAATCCTCAAAACAGTCCTTATAAGGGAGGAACTATGAGAGCCCCATTTTGCAGACAGACTCAAAGTAAGCTAAGCTACGTAAGAGAGCATAAGGCAGTGTAGACACTTTCCTAGAAGCTGTGCAGTGGTGCATATTGGCTGCTTCTGAAGGCTCTCATGAGTCTTCTTGAGGAATATTTGTTTAATGCTGAGAGGTGGAGTCGCCTATACAGAATAAGAAGTCTAGCATTGAGTGATACTGGCATTCTTGCTCAAGTATGAAATCTCTCCATATATACAGTTCGTTAGTCGAAATTGGCTCTTGGGAGCGTTTTTGATATTTCTCACTGCCTTCAAAGTGTAGTCCTGATAGGTGTTTAGCAACTTCCAGACCCACAGCCAAGAAGTAAAATTCAAGAATGCAGTTTCATTTGTCACTTCTTCAGTATCTTTCTGGATCCAGCAAAATCCATGTGTTTGAACCGTGTTATCCAGACTCTCTCTCTTTCTTTCTTTTTTTAATATTCAGTAGAAGTCTTAGCATCCCTAAGTTAGTCAAGTTCTGAAGACCATGAGAGATCTTGATTGATAATAGTCACCTTCTGTAGTTTTGTCCAGAAATCCTAGAGCCTACTGCTTGCTCAGTGACCTGGACTTCTGGGAAGTCTCCAGGTGTTTCTTATTAGCCCAGTAACAACGATAGCTGAGATAGTGATAGACTTTTTGATTATGGCTTAAGGTGGTCTTATGTGAGCTTAAATCTATAGATTTGCCTGGATCCAGGTGATCACACACCCACACATACACACCCACCCACACCCACACACACACACACACACACTCACACACACACACACACACACACATACACACACACACACACACACACACACACACTCACGTTATTTGGTACAACTTGCTACATTCTTACCTTCATTACATTTTCTCTTTGGCATTAGTCTCTAACGTTTGCCTGGATCCAGGTGATCACACACCCACACCCACACACCCACCCACACACCCACACACACACCCACACACTCACACACACACTCACACACACACATACACACACACACACACACACACACACACACTCACGTTATTTGGTACAACTTGCTACATTCTTACCTTCATTACATTTTCTCTTTGGCATTAGTCTCTAACAATGTGGATACGGGTACCTAGAAAAGGCAAAGACTTCTCTGTCTATTCATGCACATTCATTTTTAAATAGAGTTTTATAAAACAGCTCTGAAGAGAGGACACTGCCCTTTTTCCAGGCTTCAAGACACTTCTTGAGTTTTCTAAAAAGCCTTCCAAATTATCTTTAGATGATTTTGACACATCTAATTCACTGAGATTCAAATTCTCAAGGCTTATGGATTTGGATACTAGCTTGTTCATGTCTTCTAAATGAACAATTTACAACATTTTCCACCCATTTATTCCATTTGAAAGTCTCCAAAACCCTGCAAAGTAAGAGGGAAAAGAATTATTTCTGTGATTCTCATTTTCAAGAGATGGAACCTGAGATTTCGAGTGATTGCCCCAAGCTTATGGAGTCAGGAGTAAAGCAGCGACAAGGGCTGGAACACGTCCCCTAACGTGCTACACTGCACCATATATTTTTTACCTATCAGTTATTTTTGGAGGTCCTACTATGTGTCAGTGCTACCCACTCACTCTGTATGTGTCTTAGACACATGGTCAGTTTGTTTACTTGTTTATTTTGAACAATGTTGTGGTTATATATACAAATTTTGGCATCAAATGGTCCTAGATTTGCATCGTGGCTCTGACAGTTTTTAGGTTGCAATCTTAGTGTTCTGTATGAGCCCCCGTGTCCTCGTGTGCTTATACAGAGTACCTTCCTGTGGAGTTGTTGAGAGGCCAGTGTTCAAAGCAAATACTCTATAAATGTTAGCTGTGATTATGGAGCAAAAATATACAGTGTTTTTCCTCTGATTATTACCTAACATCAGTTTTCCTTCTTTTTTCCCCCTGCTATATGAAAAGACTTGTCAGTCTTAAAATTCTCTCCACATGTAGTAATAATATTTAAATTAAAGAATGTCTTCGACCTCAGCTTTCTTCCAGCTCCGAAATTCTAGAATTCTATAGTACATTATGATATATAATATAGGAGATAAGCAGACTATATCATAAGATATAGCAGATGTCAAGGAGAGTAGGAAGATTGGTAGGGTTGTTGGCTCTGAACATAAACTTACCTGTGCTGATTTAAGTTAAAATTTATTGGAAGGATATGGGAATAGCACATATAACAAAGGGAAAAGCTGAATGAACATACTAAAAAGGACAGAACCCAGGGCAGACTCTCCAGGCCCCTTGTCAGAATCAATATGCTGCTCCAATCATTTTCTGTCTTTATATCTTGCCTCTGTGAGTCAAATACCCATTAGGAAGAACAGCTGATTGGCTGAGCTTGGGTCATGTGACTCCATCTTGGTCAGAAGAGGCAGGGCACCTTGATTGACAATTCCGTCACAATTGCCTGCAGTGGGAGAGCGTTGATTCCCCTAGTGAATCAAAGGAAATGTATGGAGTCAATATCAAAAGCAAGGGGAAAACAACATTTTGCTCATTCTAAAAATGCAGATCATAATTCCATTTATATGGCATTCTGGAATTCTATAGTACATTATGATATATAATATAGGAAAAGGCAAAACTAGGGATCGAGAACAAGGATTACTAAGATTCAGGGGCAAGAAGAGGGTTTGACTACAAAGGAGCAACATGAGAAAGTTTTCTGTGGGTGAGGGAATTGTTCTGTATGTGCTAAAACCTATTGAACTTTAGTCTAAAACAAGACTCAATTTTTATGTATGTAAATAAAAATAATAGGAAAATAGAGAAGACATATTAGTTATGAAATGGCTATAAATTTCTAACTTTTACTTCTTAAGCTGATTAAAAAATGTGTCCAGAGGTTTTACATATTAACCATTTTTCCTTTCTTGTAAACAGTATTTAGAACTTCGATTTAACAAATATGTTCGTCTCTGTGGAACAATTTTCTACATTGTTCAAACAGTAAGTAGCTCTCCATTAGTTTATTTTATCTTTTGTCGTCTAAAATGTTTTTAACGAAGGCATCCGGGCCAAGCTCTTTTGGTAAACACATGAAAGATGAAAAAGAGATGTTGCAAATAGTAGGAAACAAAAAAGTTTGAAAAAGTTGACAGAAGAAGAGATTAGGAAATAATTTTCTTTGTTTGAAAGCATACTTTAAACAATGAATCAGCTCTCTTTTAAATTGAACCGTAAGACCCAATTGAAGCAGTCACTGAGTGTGAAACTGCAGAACCATGCACCCCAGAGGTATTTTTAAAGTCAAGTACACAATCCAGTAATTCACGAATATGAAAGTATAGGTTTACTGATTGACACAAATGGAAAGCAAAGATTTACCAAGCAGTCAGTGACAGAGAATGCTCCCCACTGTTCATATTCATCCAGGCCGCTGGTGGCTTGTCATGATTGTTGTCACATAATTTATATCTCTTCCTCTTGGCAGCTAAGTGCTTTAGGGATGGGTTTGCTAATAAAGTCTAGGAAGGCATTTTTGTTCTCATCTCTATTTACAATACCGTTTCTCCAACCAAAAGCTACCTAAGCATTGCTACGACGTAACAGAGTACCTTTGTAAATTATTTAACTGGACTCCATTTTAAATCTTTGTAAATTACATGACTTAAATTATATCAGTCTTTAACACTTGCAGTGTAAAAGGAAGGGAACCTTTGAGGTCTGGTAGAGATCCTGTCACGGAACTGAGGCTTATAGCTTATATTCTCGAACAGTTCAGAGCCTCTTTGGATCATTGTTAGAAGTGCCAATAGAAATGAAAAGTGAGGACTGGTGTTAAGAAAATGTGGCCTGTGATCATGTTTTCAAATCTTCAACTAGGAGAGAATAATGACTGGAAAGCTAGTTCATTCTTGCAAAAGGCGGGAAGTTTTAGTATGTCCCATTTGAAAGACTTCTATCGATCAACCCATGTCATGTAATCAAACATTCAAATAATGCATAATATGTTTTTTTATATGTTTTTATAGAGTAATCATAGAATTAGCTTCTATGTGGTATATTTGAAAGATTAAGTGTAATGAAAATATAATTCTGAGAAAAAAGACATTTATCTTATTCACTATTATACCTGAGATTAATAAATATTTGTGAAATGTGTGAATGAGAAAAATGAACAATATAAAAAAGATGGAATACAGTTTTGATTGGCTTTCAGGAGTTTTTAGTGCAGATTTACACTTTTGTTTAATGTGCAAACTTTACAAACCAGTTTCTAAAATTTTTACTATTTTTCTAATTAATTATGCAGTGATTAATAGCAGTTTGAAGTATGAGGGACCATCTACTTTTAAATTTGTATTCTTTCTTTTTAGTTGTTTTAGATCTAGGAAGATTTATTTTACCTGAGTTGATAGATCAATGACTACACTAAACACCACATGAAAAGTCCATATTTTTACACAAAATTGGTCATAAAAGATTTTTTAACCTATGGCCACACCACAAATGGAAAAGGAGAATCAACTTCACTAAAATAAACATTTTCGTTACAAACAAATTTTATTAAGTATATTGAAACTGCTGTTTTAATTCATAATTGAACTTATAGAAAAATATTGATATTTTATTTTATAATTTATACCATTTATTTAGTTTTCTTTTCCCTCCCTAGGTTCTATATACTGGAATTGTTATTTATGCTCCTGCCCTGGCTTTGAATCAAGGTACATTTTAGAGTTTACCAATTATGTCACATTTTGGGCTTCATTTTTAATAGACCTTATTCTTTCTTTGGTGAGGTGGGGTGATGGAGGGATGCTTCCAATAATCTGTATCAGTTTGAGGTAGGAAATGTGGGTTCAGGGTGTACACTAGTGGTTTCTTTGGGTTCCTGGATCTATAGCTCCAAAAGGTCTGTAGATTAGTGGAAGGACAGACCTCACTGGGCAGTAATTCCCTGAGATGTACCAAACAGCCATTCTCCATTCCTTCAGAATGAGCGCCTCCTATAGTCTAAATCATAAATGACCACATTTCCTCCCTTTATGACTAAAACCAGATCCCTTCTTGAAGAGGCTTCTGTGTTTGGCCTAGTTACACTGTAAAATCTGGCAGAGAGAGAGAAGCTGTGCTTCTCTCCACTTCTGATGTGGTCCAGAAAGCAAAACAAATAAGTTTGTGTGATTTGAAATATCAGACAGTGCTCCTAGTGACAAAAGGACAGATCTTTATAGTGTCCTTATAAACAAAGGTATCAAGGTTGTGCTAATCAGCAAATTACTATACTCTCTAGATCTGGGCAGATAATAGCAGTAAAACTGGGATAGTTTACTGAGGCATAGGTGCGTGTTAGTCATATCCTCAAAAGGTTTTGGGGAAACCCTCTATCCTTTGAATTCTTATCAGTCAGAAGTGAGTTTACCTCTGAAACTTCCTTGTAAAATGGACGAGTGGACTCTGATGGAAAGAAGGTAGTGCAGTTCCTGGAATTAATGTGAAATGAAAAAAAACCTGCTAACTCCACTCTAATTTTTTTATTTCATGATGAATAAAGAGTAGTTATCATTTAAGTTTATAAAGCACGACAGTATCATTACAAAGAACTTCATTATATAATGTGCTCTTGACCTCTAAATATTAGGCATGTTCCATATCAATATTACCAACATCGTGAGTGGATCATTTCATATGTAAAAAACTGAGCCATAAACTTTATGTTACCTCTTGGCTTTAAGTGTAATTAAAGATGTTGGCTTTAGGGTTTCAAAGTGCAGTTCTTGGAAAAAGAGAATACCTTCAGTCTGTGAAGAAGTCGAGGATTCTATTCTTATCACTTTATTGGAATAAGTTAGAAGCCAAGGGACTGCCCTTTGACCACTCACATATCAATTGTGGATTTCACGATGACAAAGGCAGTAGGCGCAAGCTTAGACGCATTACTTGGTTTGCAAAGGGTTCTCAGTAGAAACTTGTTTAACTGAATTGGAACCTAACATTTTCTAGGTATAATCTATTTGTTTTTATATGGGAAACTTCAAACATGTACTAAAATAGAATAATGTGTTGAACCCTAATGTACCCTTTCCACTAATAATTATCAACTCTTGATTTAATACACTCCATGTTCCCCTTACTAGATAATTTTGCTGTGAATCTGAGATATTTTATCATTTTATCTAAATTTAATATGTCTTTTAAAAATAAAGATGTACTTTTTTTTTTTATTGTGGTATAATTGACACATAAGATTACATAAGTTTCAGGTGAAAATATAATGATTTGATAGTTGTATATTTTGAAAAATGATCACCACAATAAGTTAACATCTGTTACCGTACATAGTTATACAATTTTTTTGCTTGTGATGAGAGCTTTTAAGATCTACTCCCTTAGCAACTTTCAAATATACAACACAGTATTATTAACTATGGGCTCCATGCTGTGCGTCATATCTATGACATATATTGTGTAACTGGAACTCTGTACCAGGATGTGTTTTTTTAAATACAGTTATACCATCATCGTAACTAAAACATTAATTCCTTAATATCGTCAATATAAAGTCTGTGTTAGGTTTCCCTGATTTCTTTCCCCGAGTTTCTTAGAATCAGGATCCAAATAAATTTATGCAATTGTAATTAGTTGATTTGTCTCTTGAAGTTTCTCTCTCGCTTTTTAAAATTGAAAATCATTTTTATTGAGAGATAGCTTATATACAATAAAATGCACAGAACTTAAGTATACAATTGGATAAATTTTGACTATTTTATACACGTGTTCACCACTCAACTCAAGATACAGAATATTTCCATCATCCAATCCCAGAAAATTTTCTTGTGCTTCTTTCTAATACATCCCTACTATTCTGAGCAGCCAGTTTCTGATTTTTATCACCATAAATTCCTGTTCTCAGAATTTTTTAAATAAATGGAATCATATAGTACCTTTTTTGCATCTGGTTTCTTTTGCTGAACAAAATGTTTTTGGGACATTGATTCATGTTGCTACGTGTACTAGTACTTTATTCCTTTTTATTGGTTGTATTTGTCATATGTACTTATCAAAATCTGTTTATCCATTCTCTTGTCTATGGACATTGCTTGTGTCCAGTTTTAGGCTATTGTGAATTAAGGCTGCTAAGCACATTCTTGTACAGGTTTTGTTTCATTTTGCTTTGCTTCATGACACATGTTTTCATTTTTATTGAGTGAATACCTGGAAGCAGTATAAAATTAAATGTATATCTGTTCAGATCTAGCACGGAGTAGATGCATGTATGAAATTTAAGAGAAACTGGCAAATAGCTCTTCTAGGTGGTTGTTCCATTTTACATGCCCATCCCACAATGGATGAGAGTTTGGGTTACTGCACACCCTTGCCAACATTTTGTATTTGTCTTTTGATTTTGGCTATTCTAGTTATATGCTCTATTTTTTTGTGGTTTTAATTTGCATTTTCCCAATGACTATTAATGTTGAGCTTACTAGCTCATGGAATAATAAAATGAATAGGAAAAGACAATTCACCTAGTAAAAGGTGGGCAAAATTTGAACAGACACTTTACAAAAGCAAATATTCTTTCAGTCCTTTATTTGGTAAATTTATTCATTTACCCAGGGCTTTTAAAATTCTCTTGGTAATGTTTAATGGTTTTTGATATCAAAGTCTTATACGTATTTCTTAGATTTATTTCTCGACATTTGATGTTTTCGATGCTATTGCAATGTTATTATTTTATAATACCATTTTCTAATTATTCATCGTTGCAAGTATATAAAAATAGTCAATTTTTATATGTTGATCTTCTATCCTGAGAACTTGCTAAATTTACTTATTAATTCAAGTAAGTTTTTTATATATTACTAGATTTGATTTGTAATATTTTGTTAAGGATTTTTATAGTCTATGAGGAATGTTGATCTGAAATTTACTTTTCCTTTAGTGTCTTTGTCAGGATTTTTGTTTTAGTTATGCTTATTCATAAATGAGTTGGAAAGTGTTCCCTCTTCTATTTTCTGAAAGAGTTTATATAAAATTGTATATTTCTTTCTTAAATGTTTGATAAAATTCACAATGAAGGCATCTGGGCCTGACGTTAGTTTTTGTAGCAAGGTTTTGGTTTATGGATTCAATTTTTAAAATAAAAATAGTTATTTATATATATTTTCTAATTCTTATTGAGTCAGTTTTGGTGAACTGTTTTTCAGAGAATTAATTCTTTTTATCTAACTTATCAAATTCATTGGCATAAATTTGTTTATAATATTCTCTTGTTATCCTCTTAATGTTTATATGGTATCTATAGTCCCTTCTAATTATTCTTAACATTGATATCTTTTCTCTTTTTTCCTTGATGTATCTTGCTAGTCTTTTATTGGTGTTTTAATTTTTTCTAAGAACCAATTTTTGGCTTTGATTTACTTGTTTTGCTTTCTATTTCATTAATTTGTGCTATTATATTTATAATATTACAAATATCTTCTACTTTGGGTTTTAATTTTCTAGCTTCTTAAGATAGAAACTTGGATTACTAATTTAAAATTTTTATTTTCTAATGTAAACATTTAAAGTTATAGATATTTCTTTAAGTACTGCTTTATCTGCATCTCAGATTTTGATATGTTTTTGTTATTCAGTTCAAAATATTTTCTAATTTTTCTTGTGATTTCTTTTACCCACATGTTATTTAGAAGTGTGTTACATAATTTTCAAATATTCTATTATTTTCTAACATATCTTTTTATTAGTAATTTTAAAATTAATACTGCTTTGGTCAAAGAATTATTATGATTTTAGTTCTTTGAAATTTATTGAGATTTGTTTTATGGCCCAGGATATAGTCTATCTTGCCAAACATTCCATGTACTCTTATAAAGAATGTGTATTGTGTAGTTGTTGGGTGTAATGTTTTATAAATATGAAAGGTTCAGTTGGTTTATAGTGTTTTTCAAATCTTCAATGTCTTTACTATTTTTTTTTTACTCGCATCAATTACTGAAGAGGGATATTAACATATCCAAATATAACTGTTAATTTTTTCCTTTTCTCCTGTTCTGTCACTTTTTACTAGATATATTTTGAAGCTCTTTTTTTTAATAATTTTTTAGTTTTTAGTTATAGTTGGCATACAATACTATATTAGTTTCAGGTGTGCAACATAGTGATTAGACATCTATATAACTCACAAAGTGGTCATCCCCAATGACTCAAGTGTCCCTCTGACACTGTACATAGTTTTTATAATATTATTGGCTGTATTCCTTATAATATATTTTCTATCACCATGACTATTTTGTAATTACCAATTTGTACTTCTGAATACCTTCCCCTCTTTTCAGCGATCCCCCCACACCCTTCCATCTGGTAACCCTCAAAATGTTCTATGTATCTATGAGTTTGTTTCTGTTTGTTTGTTTTGTTCTTTAGATTCCACATATACATGCAATCTTAAGGCATTTGTCTTACTCTATCTGACTTAGTCCACTCAGCACACTACCCTCTAGGTCCATCATGATATATCTTTTTCCATCCCCTTACTTTTAATCTGTGTGTGTCTTTTAATTTGAAGAGAGTCTCTTGTAGGCAGCCTATGTAAGGGTCTTGTTTTCTTATTCAGTCAGCCACCCTATCTTTTGATTGAAGCATTTAATTTTTTTTCTTTTGAAGTACTTGTTGATAGATATGTAGTTATTGCTATTCTTTATTTAGACTTTCGATACATGTATTTTTCTTCTACTTAAAGAAGTCCCTCCAACATTTCCTATAATACTGGTTTGGTGGTGATGAACTCCTTTAGCTTTTTCTTTTCTGGGAAGCTTTTTATCTGTCCTTCAATTCTAAATGATAGCCTTGCTGAGTAAAGTAATCTTGGTTGTATGTCCTGGGTTTTCATCACTTTGAATATTTTGTGCCAAACCCTTCTGGTCTGTAAAGTTTCTGTTGAGAAATCGACTGACAGTCTTATGTGATTCCCTTGTATGTAACTAATTGCTTTTCTCTTACTGCTTTTAAGATTCTCTCTTTGAATTTAACCTTTGGCATTTAAATTATGATGTGTCTTAATGTGGGCCTCTTTGGGTTCATCTTGCTTGGAACACCCTGAACTTCCTGATATTGTATGTCTATTTATCTCAAGTCAGGGAAATTTTCCATCATTATTTCTTCAAATAGGTTTTCAATTCCTTGCTCTCTCTCTTCTCCTTCTGGTATCCCTGTGATGCAAATGTTGTTATGCTTGACATTGTCCCAGAAGCTTCTTAAACTATCTTCAATTTTTTGGATCATTTCTTGTTGCTGTTTGGGTATCCTCTGCTATCCTGTCTTTTATGTTGCTGAGTCAATCCTTCATTTCAACCACTCTGTTGATTCCCTCTAATGTACTCTTCAACTCAGATTGTATTCTTCATTTCTGACTGGCTCACTATGATGTTTTCTATTTTCATTTTTATGCTTTTTAAAATCTCTTTGTTAAAGTTCTCACTTGAGTTCATCTACTCTTCCCCTAAGTTCTTTGAACATCCTTGTAACCAGTGTTTTCAACTCAGCATCTGATAGATTGCTTGTCTCCATTTTGATGAATTCTTTTTCTAGAGCTTTGTTCTGTTCTTTCATGTGGGACATGCTTCTTTGTCTTCCCATTTTGGCTGCCTCCTTGTATCTGTTGCTATGTATTAGGTAGGGCTCCCAAGTCTCCTGGTCTTAGTAGAGTAACTTTATATAGTAGGTGTGCTGTGGCACAGACCTGGAAGGGGTCCAGCTGTAGGCCAAGTTCAACTGTAGCCTGTATACCTCTGGGGCCACCTAGTGAGAGTCACCAAGCAATCCACATATGGAGCCACCCATGCTGAGCCTATAGATGCCTTGAGGGCCCAAGTCTGAAACCAAGGCCAGCTGCCACTGGTGCGAGCCTTGGGGCTACTCAGCAAGAGGTACAGAGGCTGCTTCTTTGGGCTTTGTGAGCCTTTGAGAGATTTTATGAACATTCACAGCAGGAACCAAGATAGCTCGTTTATATGGAACAAATTACTGGAAGTGGCTTGAGTGGGACCACCGGTTGAGAGAGGCAGAGTCTTAGGGAATCCCCTGGGTGGAGCTATCTGTTTTATCCAGATTGTTGGCACCTGCATCTGTAGGCTGGGATGGGGCAGGGCTCAACAAAGGTATAATGGCTTCTGCTTGCACCTCTGTCTGGTCTCAAGCTGCCCCTCCAGCCCTCGCCTTGAGCCAGATAGCTCAGCATCTCCCTGGTGCCCCTCGGGCAGCTGCCCCAGTGCTGGAGTTCAGAACGAGTGAGTCAGCAAGTAAGACCAGTCTCCACTTCCCGCTGCCCTCCATCTCACTCAGCCACAACCTTCACTGGTTTTCACAGCCAGAGGTTGTGGGGACTTCTCGTTTCAGCAGTGGAACTCTGGGCTGGGGAACCCAGTGTGCAGCTCTTCAGGTGGGGGAGGCGGCTCTGCTGCTAAGATGGCCCTCCCGGTTCTTGATCACCACACGGGGTTTTGGGACCACACTGTTTCTCATCTCTGCCCCACCTACCATTTTCAGGTGACCTGTTATTTGTGGTGACCTAGTTGTAGTGCTTCTGTTCAGCTGACCTCTGGTGACTCTATGTACTGGTTGTTCTGTAGTTTTGTTAAAACTTTGGTGTGGTTGCTAGAAGAGACATGTACATCTTCTATCTTAATCTATGTCATCTCGAGTTTCTAGCCTGACTCTTTTGAAACACTTTTAAAATCTATTTTAATTTACAATCTCCCTCCTTTTTTTAAAATTACAATTTATTTGTTGAAGAAATTGGGTCATTTGCTCTGTCAGGTTTTCCAGATTGTTGGTTTTACTGATTGTATCACCATGAGGTTATTTAATGTTCCCTAGTCCTCTATATTTTTTTGTAAACTAATAGTTAGATCTAGAAGCTTTCTCAGACTCCAGTTCAACTTTTTAGAAAGAATATTTTGTAAGTGGTGTCATTTATTTCCTTCAAAATTCACAGAATGTTAGTCTTTGTAAATTTTTTTTTTATTATTGGCCATTAATAATCATTCTAGGTCTATTATTTCATCAGGACTTATAAAATGGGATATTGTCATTCTATAATTCCTCCTTAATTAGTTAAGGAAAGCAGTTGACCTTTGCACATTAACTTGTATCCTGCAACTTTACTATATTTGCTAATCAGTTCCAGGAGATGTTTTGCTGATTCTTTCAGACTTTCGACATAGATGATCATGCCATCTATGAAAAAAGAGAGTGTTTTTCCTTCCTTTACCATCTGTATACTTTCTATTTCCTTTTCTTGCCTTATTGTATAAGCAAGGATTTCCAGTATGATGTTGAAAAGGAGTGGTGAGAGAGGACATCTTTGCCTTGTATTTGATCTTAGTGGGAAAGCTTCCATTTTCTCACTATTAAATATGATATTAGCAGTAGGTTTTTTGTAGACAATTTTTATCAAGTTGAGGTATTTCCTCTCTACTCCTAGTTTACTGAGAGTTTTTATCATGAATGGGTGTTCAATTTTGTCTAAATCTTTTCCTGAATCTATTGATATGATAACGTGATTTTTCTTTTTTAGTCTGTTGATGTGATGGATTCCATTAATTGATTTAAAATGCTGAACCAGCTTTGCATACCTGGGATAAATCCCACTTGGTCATGGTGTGTAATTCTTTTTATATTTTTTTGTTTCAATTTGCTATTATTTTATTGAGAATTTTTATACCTATGTTCATGAGAGATATTGGTCTGCAGTTTTCTTGTAATGTCTTTATCTAGTTTTGGTATTAGGGTAATGCTGGCCTCATAGAATGAATTAGGAAGTACTTTCTCTTTTTCTATCCTCTGAAAGAAATTGTAGAACTGGTATAATTTCTTCCTTAGATGATTGTTATGATTCACTAGTGAATCCATTTGGGCCTGGAGCTTTCTGCTTTGGATATTGATTCAATATCTTTAATAGATATAGGCCTATTCAGATAATCTATTTCTTCTTGTATGGGTTGTGGCAGATTGTGTCTTTCAAGGAATTGGTCCGTTATCAAATTTGTGAGCATAGAGTTGTTACCCTACTATTTAAAAAAAATATAATATGCCCCTCCACTTCTTAGATAAATGGTAGCAAATTATATAGACTTCTCTATCTTGGTCTCATTTTAGTAACATACACAACTTGTCTTTGAAGAACTGTTTTCTTTGAACCATGATGACAAATACCCTAGGATTCCATTCAGTCTGGGTAACCACTTCATAGTATTAAGCAGTTTCTTAGTTTAATTTCAATGTAAGCTTTTTCACGTATTTAATTTAGCCAGTGTTGAATCGTGAATGACATCTGAGGGTAGAATCCAGGTCTATTTAACTAATGAAATAGAATTTTAAACTCCATTTGTTTTGGTACATTCGGTGAGATTTGGACCTAGTTATAGGTGAGTGGGTATAGAGGTAGGTGTCCAATAAATGATATAGCTTCCCTCTGATGATTTTTTTAGAAGTATTTTTATTGTGCATGTTTCAGTTATCTGTGCATTTTCTTTTCTTCTGCAGTCACAGGACTTCATCTGTGGGGCGCTGTGGTAGCTACAGGGGTGGTCTGCACATTCTACTGCACACTGGTATGTCAAAAACGTTATTTATCCTTTCACTCTTCACATTTGCTTTTCTGAACTGAAAATTCCAATTAGTTGTATGCTGTAGTCTGGGTTGTTCATACCTACTCTCCTCCCTCCCTCAGCGTAACTTTTTTTGCAAGGAACATTCAATCTGGAATAAAATTTGATTCTTTTTGTAGAACATTGATCATAACTGAAATTTTTTTCTTTCATCTGAACCATACAATGGTCTCTAATGTTTTCTAATCTACCTTTTCTGTTTCTAAGTTAATATAGCTGTGTTTCTAATTTTCCTTAGCTTAGAAATCTAAGATAATATTCTATTGCCTTTAGACAGTCAAAATATTTAAGAACCAGTATGGCATGGGCACTGATATTATTATGAATGCAGGTCCTTAGCAGTTGTGCAAGTCTTATGGGATCCTTGTTAGTCTAGGTCTTAAACCTTTAATTGCTGGACCTTTTAGAAGATGGGTCATCAAGGAGAGGCTGGTTCAGCCAAGGTCAAAGGGACTGGAGGGGAATTCTCAGGACATTTGTGGCAGCGACTAGTATAAAACAATTTCAGTATTACAACAACTGGTATGACCTTCTGTGTCCATACTGGTTGAATATCAGCCCTACCTATGGGATAAAATCTATGATATTGCTGTTTGAAATTTGATTCTTAAGTTTCTTCCCAAGAATGTCTCCATACCACCCCACCTACTCCAAAATATATATATCTGGCCACACTGAACATGTCATGTACTTTGACCCATCTGTGCTTTCTCCTATGCTTTTTTTTCTTCTGAGGGAACCTTCCTTCTTTGCCTCTCTTATGATTGAAGGTTCGGCTTAAATATCACCTTCTCTTTAAGGCTCTCCCAACCTGACTACTTCCCTTCGATGTACTTCTTGGCCAAGATCCATGGCCAAGATCCATTTATTAACGTTGTCAAGCGTAATATGTAAGCATGTAGATGCTTAATAATGTCTGATAGAAGTATTAACCTAAATACTCTTTGCCCTCAAAGGGCGGCCTTAAAGCGGTTGTCTGGACAGATGTTTTTCAAGTTGGGATCATGTTGGCTGGATTTTTGTCTGTGTTTATAAGAGCTACGGTGGTTCAAGGTGGAATCAACACTATTCTAAATGATGCCTATAAAGGTGGAAGATTAAACTTCTGGAAGTAAGTTTCTATTTATCTCTTGGTTAATAGAACATTGTTTTTGTTTTTTTGTGTAAAAATAATTTCTTTATTGAAACAGCAAGTTTATGTTATAAAACAAACAAACCACTAAGTACGGAAATTTGAAGCTGGCAAGTAAGCATGTAAAGAGTTTTCACTAGGTCAGTTAGAGGTTAAAACAGTCAGATGGTACTTAGTTTTAGGATAGCGCTTCCTCCTGGGAAGGGATTGGTAGCAAAACAGTATTTTCTTCTACATATAAAAGTTTGGAATAGGTGGAAGGGTGGAGTGTGGTGATAAGGAAAGTGATAGTGGAAAGATAAAAGAAGGAAACTTCTTAAGAGAAAACCTCCAAAAGACAATGATTCCATCTTGACCGTTCTTTGTTTCAAACAGTTCTATTTTTGAATTTCTCTTTGATATTGCCCTGGCAATATATTACTACATTATTACTATGCCATATATATAATGTAATCTGCACTGTATACTATTATATATTATTTCAAGAGAATTGACTAGAACACTTATGGCTGATGCCTCAAATGTCAGTATAGTACTATACTATATAGTATATGGTATAACATGTACATGGTATAACATTACACAGCTGTTCAGTTTTCCTAAAGAAAGGCTGATGGGGAAACTAGACATTTTACCACAAATATGCCACACAATTTAAAAGAATATTTAAAACACTTTACCTTTTGAGTCATTAGCATCATTCTTATGCATCATGTTCAGTGTGGAGAGGGGCTCCTTTTGATGTGGATCGGCTCATTTTTTCTTTAAGCATCCCTCTTTTTAGATAAGCAATCTGAGATTATCGGCAAGAAGAAAGAAGAATCATTTTGCTCTTGGTGCATCTCTTCTGCCTTCTAAAAAGAAGCACTAATGTTTGAGAAGAGCTTTTCATAAATTGAACAGGGTCACTTAATTTGCAGGAATGTATTACAGAGAATCAACTTCAACTGTTTTCAGTATATATTTTTTCTTTTGCCACAAGGGTTAGATTCCCAGGAGGAGAACCTGCAATTGGCCTCGCTTGGCCACGATTCCATCCCTTAGCTAGGGCAGAGCAGGATGTTTTGACTGACAACTGTTTGGACTATTTAGGGGAGAAATGGCATTTCTCCCAGAGCAGACCTAGTTTGCTGTTATCAGATGAGGGAGGAATGGATATGAAGCAGAAACAACCAGTGGCCACTCAGGAGACCTTGATTACTCCCAAATCTCTTCCTACTAGGCTAGGTCAAGGGGAGAGGATGTGGAACTAATCATTTTTTTTTCCGCAAGATAACCGTCACTTTATACAAAGGATACACATATTGAAGTGACAACTTATACATCCATAAGAGAGTCTAAAAAGTAAAAGATTAGACATGTTTATAACCTTTACTTTGCCAACCAATTAAGTGATAATGAAAAATCTTATTGTATATCCCTTGTTATTCAGATATGTTTTAAGAATATTGTGGGCAAAAGATCTGCTCTGGCTGAGGTAAACGAAGAGAAGGATTTTGTGTTGTTATTTTCTGTACAGTCTGTAGTTGGTGTATGTAATCTGTGTGGTCTAAAACCACTGAATTGGGTGTTCTGAATCTTATATTATTTCCCTTGTATTAGCTTGTCGAATCCTTTTGGTTTTTGACTTCCATTAGCTAATATAGTAGCTACTTTTTATGTGGGAGAAAGGATCAACACCCTTGAAGCTCATAGACTTTGATAATAAATGTTACAGAATGGAATAAGGGCTCTCATCTTTCCATAGGGCTGCCAGAATATGCATAAATTTGGAATGTTTTACTCAATTGATCTCAAATATAAGATTTGAAGTGGATTTGCAGAATTTCATAATGTTCAGAAAGCTTCCAGAAAAGTTAATTTTGCAGAAATTTTTCAAGCTTATATTGCGTATCAGAGATGAACAGAATCATTCCTTCCAAGGTGATACATTAAGAAGGGTTAAAAAATGTATCGAATGTGAAATTTGAGCTCTCTTTGTCACAATATTTTGGACTTTCAACTGTTAGCATTTACTTGTGACCACAGCATTTTAAGAAAGCATGATTAGAATGGCATGGTAGTTTTAGAACATGGTAGTTTTAGAATTATATAATTGATTGAATTCTTAAGCTTGAATGTAAATTAGGATTATGAATATACATGTGCTAGGAGAGGAATTATATACACAAAATATGTCAGTTTTGTGTTCGTTTCAGTACCATATCTGTTGCTGTGGTGTGCTTATGAAACTTTCTTTTTTTCTCTTTTTTCAGCTTCTTGCTCTTCTCTGATTACAGCATGGCAATCTTGTTTAAATTATTTCCTGTGGCCATGGGAGAACAATTTATATAAATTCTCAGAATGATTAGAGCATTCATTCTCCCCCAGTCCCATCCAGGATTCCCAAATCTCTGAAAATGCCAATTTTATTTAAATGTGAATTTAAGTTAGGAATATTTCTACCTTTTATAATTAATTAATAAATTTGGACATATTTATGTATATGTATATAGTTATGTAGGTATACATTGCTTGCTTCCAAAAAATACTCTGGAGGAATTCCTGGAGTGTTTTCTGCCAGTAGTTCAGATTTGTTTTCTGTTTGTTTTTGTTTAGTTTTGATCCTAACCCTTTGCAAAGACACACATTCTGGACAATTATTATTGGAGGGACCTTCACATGGACCAGCGTATATGGTGTCAACCAATCCCAAGTGCAGAGATATATTGCCTGCAAAAGCAGATTCCATGCAAAACTGTAAGCCAAGCTGTGCTATATGTATCATTAATAACCTTTAGTTGTCTTTATGGAGACTTTCATAAGTCAAGCTTTGCTCAAGTTTAAGTCTTTTTGTTTTAAATGAAATTCCCAGAGATAAATGATATACTTACTTACAAAAGGATCAAGTAAAGTCTACTGAATGTTTTAAATCAGATATTTAAAAAATTATATCAATTATTAAGTAAAACAAATCTTATCAAATCAATAGGCATTTATCATGCATCTATTTGTATAACGAATTATGGGGAAAGAAAATTATAATTATATGGCTCTTATCATGAAGTAACTCAGCATCAAATTAGGAAAACATATGCAAGTATATGAAAACTGAAATAACACTAGAGAGGTATAACAGTTCCATGAAACAATATAACAATAGAGGATACATTCCAGAGCATTATATTGCTGGATGTGCTGGTGTATTTTATTTTCAAACACAGTCATGGGTTTAGAACTCTGCTCTAATACTTTCTACTTGAGTGATCCTGGGCAAGTTACTTAGACTACCTGAACTTCAGTTTCTAATTTGTGAAATGAGCAGAAGAAATAGTCTACATTTCATGGGAGGTATTATAAAATACTGAGTTCAGCACACACATGGTAGAGGTCCAGTAAGTGTGAATTTCTCTTTCCAGATCAAATCATGAGATGTGAATCCTGGTTGAGAGACTCTTGTCAACCAAACGTATCCTAATGAAGGATCACATGTGGGCAGGTGGAAAAGAGTGGAAGAGTATTTCAGATAGACAGAGTAATTTGGACAAAGCAGAGGTCAGAAGGACGACATAGTCAAGGAACTCTCAAGCCCATCTTGGCTTGAGCAAAGAGTGTGAACAATGGCTGGTTCTTTCTTAGGAGGCTTCAGATTGATGACCACCAATCCCCATGCTGGTAAATAAGGCCGACTTGGCCCACATGCATTTAGAGGCTCAAAGACTCTAAATCGGTTGATTAAGAATAACAGAGTGGTTGGAGTAGTAGAAGTGGCAATTCTGTTTCCGTTTAAAAGAAAACATGAAAATATTGTAATGTCACATATTGGAACTCAGTCTCTTGAGAGTAAATTGGTTTGGACATTATCTCTTTTTGGAAAATTCCACAAATGAAAGACCTGTATGAATATGAGTATAGTAACAGGATACACAATCTCCTAAAGGAGAGCTTAAGAGTTTTTATTTTAAGGAACTTCGAAGGAATGTAATTTATCTATCCAGAAATCCACCAGACTTTAAAGCTATGCCAGAGCTGATGCCTTTCCCAGAGTAATTGTGCACATGCTCTTCTGTTTCGCTGGGAACATGAAGCTCAAGAAGCCCACCTTTGTAACTAAAAGAACAGTATTAGAGCTTACTTAAAAAGAAATAATTTCCTTCAGAATAGCTCTATGGATATCCTTAACAAGGCAGATTCCCTTGGGCTCAGGGGAAACATTTTCTTGGCTGTCTAACACTGTCTCCATGGGAAGAATGAATCCCAGCCCCAAAGTCAAGACCTACTGACATTGATTGACTGGGAACAATATCAGATGTTGATAAATGATCTATTTGAATGGCATTAAAGTCAAATAAAACTACGGTAAAGTATTAAACTTGTATATAAGAGCAGGGAAAGTCTGAGCAGGAAAGTCTGGGTATATTTTCTGGTGATCTTGAGATAAGATACAGTTACTTGTCTTAATTTTAGACAATAGCAAAATATGCAGTAAATTTAGTCAAGGGAAAAAGCTAGCTAGTGGTTTGGCACCTGTTGCAGAATGAATTCTCCAGGAAGCAGACTCGAGATGAAGGTTAGTGTGCCAGAGTCTATTAGGGAATCATCACCTATTGAAAGAAGGAAGGAAAAAAAGCAGGTTTGGCCAGAGGGAAGAAGTGAACTGTAATGCAATCTCAACAGAGGCCTCGAGGGAGCTCTAAAGCTGCAATTATTCTTCAGACTTGTCCCAAATGAGGGTGAGGGGACCAAACTTTTAAACCTCTGAATCCAGTAGTCATTAGATACAGGAGCCCCAGGGAAGCAAGGTGTGGGGCCCTATCTTCAGCTTAGGGCAGCTCATCAAAGTGTCTACAACAGCACTTGGGAAAAAATGTAGGCACCTTGGTGAGGGAAATGTTTACTGTTCAATCGATTATCACGACATAGCATTCAGTGATATTAATACTAATAATATCAGTAACTACCATTTCATGAGTACTTATTACATGACAAGTTCTGTGCTATATAATATATACTATTTCATTTTGTCTTATAACTGTGAGGTAAACATTGTTATCTCTAGGTAGAAATGAAGGAACTGAGGATCAGAGAGGCAAAATTACTTGCCCGGGATCACATATGGTAGATAGAGACAGGATTTATGCTCAAGTCTGATTCCAGCACTGTTACGTAAACCTTTGTACTCTCCTAGAGCACGCACTGTGTACTGTGATGATGAACATTGTTTGGGAAGATACTGTCCAAGGAATACAGGTTTGCCTTTCATGCCTAATGGATGCCATTGCAAACCACATTTAAACATGCTTGATGAGTTGCTATATAGATGCTAACTATGTTTAGCAGTTTGTAATTGTATTACTTTTAAAAGGTAAATGAATAATAGTGGCTGATCTGTTGACTATTAAAATTTTTATTTCATGACAAGAAGCCCTGAAGTAATATAATTAGATACCTTTATAAAGCTAATAATGCCCACGGAACTCTGACCACCAGAATACATTCATTCAATGAGAGAACCTCATCTATTCTCAGAATTCCCGAACAATTGTTGATTGATATCATAAGTAGAAGAGTAGGCCAGGATAAAATAAGCAGCATTTTTGATAAACAGAAAATAGTATGCATTTATTGAATATAACCATGAAAATTGATTTTGTTTTTTTTTTTGACAAGTTTCCTAATCTCTAGAATGGAAATTCCAATTGTCATTTGCTGGTTCGCTTTTACCTCTTCAGGTCTCTCTACATCAATCTCGTGGGACTCTGGATAATCCTTATCCTCTCAGTGCTTTGTGGGCTCGCCCTATATTCCAGGTACCATGACTGTGACCCTTGGACAGACAAGAAAGTGTCTGCACCAGATCAGGTTCGGTTCCGTGTTTTTCTTACATGTGCATCAATGACATTATTAGTTGGGAGGAAAGAATATTCGTGTTCTTGTAGAGAAACAATAAATAGGCACCATATAATCATTTTTAACTTCTATAAAGCATTTGGCAAAATTTTATTTTAACAGATATAGCAAGAATGAAGAATGCTGTATCTAAGATTAAGATAGTGAAATACCTGAAAAAAATTTCAAGCCAAGTGTTAAATAGAAATAGTTCAAGGCTAAGAGTAGAAATGTAAAGACAGTTTTAAAAAACCAAAACTGTACACAAACCAAATTACTGTAGAACATTTTGTAGGTATTGTTATATCGCTCATTTGTAAATAGTTTACCTTCCAGTTTTTTAATTTAAGTATGGTTGGTATAAAATATTATATGAGTTATATTACTTTCAGGTATATAATATAGTTATTCAAACATTTTATACCTTACAGTGTGATCACCCCATTAATTCTAATAGTCATCTGACACCATGCAATCTTATCACAATATTATTGACTATATTCCCCTTACCAGTTTTTAGATAAAGAAATTAACCTAATAAGTGAACATTTGTTGAATACCAACTATGTCATGAGATTCTGTGCCAAGGTGTTTTCCATGCTTTATCTTTTTTAAATTCTCACAATCTTATAATTCTAATTTTATAGACAAAGAAATGAATGAATCTTGGAGAGGTTGTATAACTTGCCTAGATCACATAGCTAACAAATAAGAAAAGCTATAGGCACTCATTAAATACTTTCCATGGGCCAGACACTATCATAAGTGCTTTGTATAAAATTCAACTTTTAATCCCCATGGCTACACTCTGAGGTAGGTTCTATGATTTTCTCTCTTTTAAAGATGAGGAAACTGAGGCACAGAGAAGTTAAGTAACCAGCTAGTAAACCTGGAGCCAGGATTCAAACTCAGGCAGACTGCCACCAGAATTCTAACTTTGAACTTCTATGCCATATACCATCTTTCAGGAAGTATAGCTAGAATTCAAACTCAGGATTACCAGACTCCAAAGCCTGAGTTCTTATTCTCTTAGTTCTTGCCAACATTATTTTCTAAGACTTGCTTGTAAGTCAAATGCCCAGGAGACTTATTAGAATGAAGATAGGCTGAATTTTATGTTGGTGCAAGTGCATCACATATTCCCAGAAAAATGCAATTTTGTGAGATTAGAAAATGAGAGCAGCCTTGAGCTATGTAGCTCAACCCGATTTTAACATATGCCCTCCTTTTGGTAAACAGGTCCTTCCTGTTTGCTCAGAGAATACAAGAATCATGTTTACTCTGAACATGGAATCACTCTTCCATTATATTCTCTCTAGTCAAGAATACTTGTGATTTTTGTATATCTTTATTGTCTATAGTTTATATCGTGAAGACAATAGTGTTTCTAATATATTTCCCCTTATTTGGAGCAAAAAAAAAGAAATCTCTACAACTTTCTAACCTTGAGACGCCTTGTCATAGAAACCATTCAAGGGTCTCTTTCATGCACACACCTATCACTTAGAGAGTGTGTGCCAAATTTTTGAAAAAGGAAAGACTCTTTCTCCTTACAGGATGTTTCCAGGACTGTGTTGTTTGTTAATGCATTAATTCAATTAAATTTCATTGGGGATACAGTACAAATAAGGCATAGTCAATAGAAGATGAGATCAAAATCTTTACTTGAGAATGCAAAGATATGTTTCTGTGACACTCTGCTGAGCTCAGCCTGAGGAAACAGGATTAGTGCTAGATGTAATTCTATGATTTTTCTATTGACCTTACCTCATTGATTCTACCTACACCTGAGTGGGCGGTTCAGAATATGAAATACCAAACCAAAGATTTTAAGAAAGTTGACGATAGAGGATTTTCGATCTTGTTATAACACTAACAATAGAAACTTAACTTGTGCTTATGTATAGAATAGTGCTTGAAGTTAAATTTTTAAGATATCTTGGAAAAATTGGGTCTTGATCTCATAAAGAGAGAGATGTTATTCTCTTTTTCTGTGAATAGTTAGTAAGCTTTGAAGAATGTAGAGGAAGCTTTGCAACAGTGGAAGATGTTCTTCTTTATCTCATCAACAAACCACTGTTAGATAAAATCAAAGAAGTTGATGAGGTAGGGCCTGTCATCTCCTCTGTCCTATGGGAGAAGGAATCAATATCAATGCAAATGGGAGGACATTCTTCTGGAATTTAAAAATCAAATTTGTTGAAAGACTTACGTGTAACATGGTGCCCAAGTCATGTACCTTCCCATTCTTATTTAATATTTATTTTTTAAAGTAACTTATCAAAAAGTAAGTTGGTTTCATGAACTTTGTTAAAAGAGGTAAGTTTCAGAAATTTAATAAGGTTACTCTCCACTTGTCGCTATATCTCATTCAGCTATAATTATATTTTCAGTCCTGGGCAGTAATTAAAGTTCACAAGGATAACATTGAGTCATCAAGTAAAGTTAAATTAAGAAAATGCTGCTTACTTAAGCAGAGAAGTATGCAAAATATTTCCTTTAAATTAATTTATTATTTCAAAGAATGAGAATAGCTACCTTTTATCAAGCATTTACTATATTATATTATATGTCCTATATTAAGATAGATTACATAGATTATCTAATTCAACTTCTGTAGCAACTCTGTGAGGTTAGTGTTATTATGTCTATTTTACAGGTGAGGAAACTGAGGTTAGAGAAATTAAGTGACAAAAGCCACATCTGTCTGAATCCAGAGCCTATAGCCTTAACTACTATGCATCTTTTAAGTGTCCTCAGTAAAAGAGTTTAATTTTAGGTATTTAGAAATTTCAGTTATGTCATATAGCTTCCTTTAGTTCTTGAAGAACAGAAGATAAATGAGGCATTAGTTAATTTTATTTGATAGCAAATAGTACTCAGGAGTAAATTTTGGAATTTTTCAGCTCATGCCTTATTTGGTACTGGACATTCTGCAAGATTATCCAGGACTTCCTGGACTTTTTGTGGCCTGTGCTTACAGTGGAACATTAAGGTATGTACTATGACACTAATAATACATGGTTTCCCTGTTGAAATTTTTCTTTTGATATTGGATATTTGGGAGGGTAAAGCTGAATTCTAGACATGGGTACAAATGGCCCAAAGGAGGCAATCTTCTCCAGTATCATCCCTTTTGGCCTGACACTAATCTCTATGGGCTAGCAGTCTGTCATCATCAGTCTCCACTTTTAATTTGGTCCTTACTAACTACAATATACCCTATAGGGTCATGGTTACGATGGTCAGTTGATGGAAGCTTTCTCTGATTATGACAAATGAGTACCTACAGCCTTGGTTTAAATATACATGTAGCTAAAGCATAGTCAAATGGAAAATTAGAATTAAAACCTCCTATTTACATGCTGAATAATATACACTGTCCAAAGAATCTGGTTTTGTGTTTGAACTTATTCATTGTATGTTCTTTCTGTGTTCTCTCCAGGGAATTCTTATTATTAACATGTACAGCATATGATAATGAGGAACCAGGAGATTAATATTATGGATATTTATTGCATATATTAGTGAGGACTTATGACAATCCTTTCTATGCAAAAAGGAAAATATATTTTGAAGTTATCATATTGATAATACTATGTAATCTATGCAGATTCTTTCCATAGACTCTGAGAAATAATTGCAAAACGGAAGCAACATTACATTATCCTTTCTCACTACTAAGCCTCTGGATGTTGCGTGAATCATTTTTGGATAACACCTTCCAGAAAGAGGATGCTGTGATCATTAAAGATAATATAGCAGAAATCTGGTTATATTTCAGAAGTAACGATTTGTTTTTCCATTTCTTATTCCCACTTAAAGTATTATTAAAGTTAAAATATTATAAAACAAAAGTTGTGTTTTCCCTTACAGCACAGTGTCCTCCAGTATTAATGCCTTAGCAGCAGTGACTGTGGAAGATCTAGTCAAACCTAACTTCAGATCTCTTTCAGAAAGATGCCTCTCTTGGATTTCCCAAGGAACTAGTAAGTTTTCATGTTCGCAATTCCATTTCAGATCTGGGAGATGATTTTTAGAGATACCAGAAATTCTTTTCCATAGAAGATACAAAGTAAGAACCTCTGAGTTTAAATACAGAGATACATGCATGCCTACAACATATTTACCATCAAGATTCAGGAGGCATGTCAAACAGTTAATTGTCAGAGCCCACAAAGAGCAATTTCCAGGGATCTTATTTGGCTCTCCTTTCCTACCTCTTCCTATCCTGAAACTATTAAACTTCTTAACCACAAAAGAAAATTCAACACTTTTCCTTTTCAACTTTAGACTGCTATTTTAATAAATATTCTTAGTTTGATACCAAGGGCCACACTTTTTCTATATTACCTAATAAGGAGCTGTCATTTTAAGGTAATAGTCTGCGTGTATGAATTGAAAATAAAGAAACAGAGCATTATAATTTTTGACCCAAATTGATTGTCCTGGAGATCACCCATAAAATTGGGCAAAGAATGCTCAACTTCTATTCTTATAGAACTTTATTTATTAGAGGTTAAAAATCAACTTGAATGGAAATATTTAAAGGCCTCTGGTTCCCAAACATCCCAAATGTGATATGCGACTCAAAGAAATCTGTCCAGTGTACTTCCTTATTTTGACCTCTTAGGTATACATGTCTTGGAATGAATGACTAGGAAAATTTTTTTAAAAAGAATTTTTAACTTTAGCACAATAACACTAATAGACTGTCAAAGAAATTGTAAATAATACTCTGTTTCGAGCCATAATTCTATATATAATTGCGTAGCCTGCAATAAATACTTAATTTATATTATTTATTGTCTCCTAAATTTAAATAGTATTGCATCATTTTATCATGTACCCAGTTTTAATCCTGGAACATAATTTCAGAATGACACAATGCTTTCTGAAGAGTATTTAGACTGGGTCATTACAAGATTATTGAAGCTGGGTGGTTTAGTGGAATGAATACAAGCATTTGAAGCCAGTCAAACCTAATCTTGCTTCATCAATTTGCTTGCATTAGGCTTGAGTAAACCCAAAAACCTCTGTTTCTTTATATGGAGAATAGGGGAAAAAACTTCACCTTGCAGGGATGCTATGAAGTTTAGAGATAATTCATATAAAACAAGAGGCACTGACTAGTGCTCAGAGAATGATGCTGCTGATGATTAATGAGATTTATATTGTTATTATTTTGAGATATTTACAGTAAGGACATCATAGAGAAGAACATGGCAGATGATTTGACTGTGTTTCTAATGACTTTGAATACCATAGTCACAGTGGTGACCATTCATGAGCTGTCAAACGGAGAAGAACCAAGCTAAGCATGTTGGAAACACTATTTATATTAGGATCCAGAGGCATAAAAAATTGTTGCAATAAGAACTTTTTGTAAAAAATTAATATCAGGTTTTCCATTTAGGTGCAATAAGATTATTTACCCAATATACTTAACAAAGGTGTTAGGGTTAGTGTAAGTAAGATGATGTAACATAAGGAATGCACTAATTTTATGATGAGCAAATATCTCATCTATTTTTTCTATATTTTGAATTTAGGGATAGTGTGGGAAATTATATTGACTGACTTCTGGTGATGTTTTGCTGAATAGAAGCCTTTAAAAATAAAATATGTAGGGAGGTAAATTTTCTTATAATTTAAATACTAAAACATGTGCTTGGAGAAAATCTGGAAAATACCGAAAGCCAAAAAACAAACAAACAAAAATATCCAATAATCTGACCACCAGTGGTGACTTGAAGATTTTTATAAATGAGTTTGGGGAAAACAATTCAGTACAAGGAAGAATGTAATACTTGTCTCAAAGCTGCCTTTCTTTGCTCCTTAACGAGAAAGGCTTAGGGCTGTTAGTGGAGATTATGAGAGAGTTAAAGGTCCTAAAACACACCTTGGTGTGGATTGCTACTTCCCAGGGGAAATGAACACTTAAAGTCAGACGACTCTAGTTTCCGATATTTATTACGCCCTTCCCCTACCATGTTGTAAAGAGCAGAGCTGAATTGTATCCTCTTTTTGTCAAACTGAAAACAGAGACCTGAGCTTTCCTTTATGAAAAAAAAAAATGTTGATGGATGATTGGATTAAGAACATAATAGTTCTTAGCATTAAAATCCCTGTAGTTAATTCTGAACACACAGTGTAAATATATATATGCTTTACTGTTAAAGTGTACAGCTGAAACTTATTGGATTTCTTTAACCAATGTCACCATAAAAAAAAAAAAAATCCCTGTAGTTAATTCTAGATTTTTTTTTAAACTTATGTAACCTAATGTAATTAATCCGTGGACGTAATGTCATGGTTTTCCTTCTCCTTTACACACTGCTGACCCTGTAGGAAAACACCCCCTTCCTTTTTTTCTGGCTCTGATGTGTGTGACCATTCTTCACCACAGTTGTATTACTCATTTTGAATCAAAGGTGCGGTAGCTTATTCTATTGAGAATTCTAATCCTCTGGGTCTGGATTTTACACTGGCTTTTTCATTGTCCATCTAGGTGTACTGTTTGGAGTCCTGTGTATTGGAATGGCTGCACTCGCATCACTAATGGGAGGTGTGTTGCAGGTAAGAGCGGACCCTTAAAGCTTTGAGTCATAATCACTAAATTTTTTTTCTTTTTAATATTGATGTGACTATCTCTCCAGACTTCTCTTTATATATGCCTACACATAGACATATCAAGGAACAGAGTGACTAAATGCTTAAAAATTCTTTTAACTTTCTATTTTGAGATAGGTATAGATTTACATGTAATTGTAAGAAATAATACAGAGATCTCATATATCCTGTACCTGGTTTCCCTCAATGATAACATCTTGCAAAACAATAGTACAATACCACAACCAGGATGTTGACATTGATACAGTCAAGAGATGGAACATTTCCATCACCACAAGAATCCCTCATACTGCCCTTTTATAGTCACACCTACTTCCCTCCTGTCCCTACTTCCTTCTTACCCCTGACAACAAGCACTAATTTGTTCTCCATTTCTATAACTTTATCAAGAATGTTATATAAATGGAATCATATAGTATGTAACCTTTTGAGATTGGCTTTTTTCACTCAGCATAATTCTCTGGAATTCATCCAGGTTGTATATATGAATAGTTGGTTCCTTTTTATTGACGTTGGTTCCTTGTTGTTGGATACTATTCTCTGGTATGGATGTGCTACAGTTTGTTTAAACCATTTACCTATTGAAAGGACATGTGGGTTGCTTCTAGTTTTGTGCTATTATGAGTAAATCTGCTGCCAACGTTCATGTATGAGTTTTTGTGTGAACTTAAGTCTTCATTTCTTTGGAATAAATGGCCAAAGGCACAATTGCTGAATGGTGGTTGCATGTTTACTTTTAAAGGAAACTGACAAACTATTTTCCAGAGTGACTGCACCATTTTACACCATTAGCATCTATGAATGGTCCAGTTTCTTCACTTCCTTTCCAGCATTTAGTAAGGTCACTATTTTTTATTTTAGCCATTCTGATAGATGTATAGTGATTTCTCATTGTGGTTTTAATGTGCATTTTCCTGATGGTTAATAATGTCAAACATTTTTTCATTTATTTACCAACCGTATATCTTCTTTCCTAAAATGTCTCTTTATATCTTTTGCCCATGTTCTGATTGAATTGTTTGCTCTTTTACTGTTGAGTTTTGAGTATTCTTTATATATTCTAGATGATAGCTCTTTGTGGTTTACAGATATTTTCTCACTCTGTAGCTTGTCTTTTCATCCTCTTAATAGTCTTTTACTGAGCAAAATTTTATTTTGAATAAGTCCAAATTATCAAGTTGTCTTCTTATAGATCATACTTTTGATGTCAATTCTAAGAACTCTTTGCCATGAAAATATTGAAGATTTTCTCCTATGTTTCTTTTCTAAAAGTTTTACAGTTTTACATTTTATATTTATATCCATGATCCAGTTAGAGTTAATTTCTGTGTAAAGTATGAGACTTAGGTGGACATCCTTTTTCCTCCCTCTCCCTATGGATGTCGACTTACTCCACCACCACTTGTTGAAAAGGCTGTCTCTTTCATTGAATTGCCATTGCACCTTTGTCAAAAATCATTTGGACACATTTATGTGTGCCTATTTCTGGTTTGTATATTCTTTTCCGTAGATCTATGTGTCCATTCCTCTGGCAATACTACAGCCTTGATTACTACAGTTTTATAATGTCTTGAAATCAGGAAGACTGAGTCCTACCACTTTAACCTTATTTTTCAGAATTGTTTTAGACATTCTAGTTCCTTTCCCTTTCCACGTAAAGTTAAGAATAATCTTCTGTATATCTAAAAATAATCTTCATAAAATTTGGTGGGATTACATTTAATCTATGTATTGATTTGGGGAGAATTGACATCTTTACTATGTCGAACCTTTCAGTTCATAAGCATAGTATATCTTTCCATTTATTTGTATCTTCTCTGATTTTTTTCATCACCATTGTGTAATTTTAATTATACAAGTTCTATTAGTTTGATTTACACCTGAGTATTTTATTTTTTGAGTGAATGTAAATGGTATCATATTTTGAATGTTGATGCCTATGTCCATGTGCTCATTAATATATAGAAATACAATTGATTTTTGTATATTTATCTTATAGCCTGTGACCTTGCTGAATTTACTTGTTAGTAATTGGGATTTTCCACATGGATAATATCATCTTCAAACAGGGACATTTTTATTTCTTCCTTTCAATCCGTATGTATACATTTTATTTTCTTATTGCACTGGCTTCAGCTTCCACATCATGTTGAATAAGAGTAGTAAAAGTGGACACCCATCCCTCATTCCCCAATCTGAGTGAAGAAAGTATTCAGTCTTTCATTCTTAAATATAATGTTAGCTGTAGGTGTTTTGTAGATGCCCTTTACTAAGTTAAGGAAATTTCCCTCTATTTCTGTTTTTCTGAGAGGTTTTATTACGAATGAGTGTTGAATTCTGTCATATTTTTCTGTATCAATTGATCTAATCATATGATTTTCTTCTTTAGCCTGTTGATATGGTGGATTACATTGATTGATTTTTCAAATTTTGAACTAGCCTTGCATACCTGGAATCAACTTCACTTGGTCATGTTGTATAATTATTTTTATATATTAATGAATTCTATTTGCTAATACTTTGTTAAGGATTGTTACATTTATATTCATGAAAAATACTAATATGTAGGGATTTTTCTGCTTTCATTTTTTGTGGAGTGTGTGTGTGTTTCCATTATCTTTATCTGGTTTTGGTATCTGTGTCATGCTAGCTTCATAATATAAATTGGAAAGAATTCTTTCTTATTTTCTGGAAGATATTATATAAAATTAGTATTAAGTATTCTTTAAATGTTTGGTAGAATTCTCTAGTGAAACCATCTAAACCTGGAGATTTCTTTTTTGAGTGTTTTAAAAATATGAATTCAATTTCCTTAATTGTTATAGGGCTGTTCAAATTATCGATTAAATAATGGGCGAATTGTGGTAGTTTGTGTTTTCAAGAAATTGGTCCATTTCATCTAAGTTACCAAATTTATGTGTAGAGAGTTTTTATTCCCTAGCCTTTTCATGTCTGCAGAATCTGTAGTGATAGACCCTGTTTTATTTCTAATATTGGTAATTTTGTCTTTTCTCTCTCTTTTTTTAAGTCTTGCTAGAGGTATGTTAATTTAATTGATATTTTCAAAGAACTAGCTCCTTATTTCATTGATTTTCTGTATTGTTTTTCTGTTTTCAAGTATTGAATTTTACTCTTATCTTTATTATTTTCTTCCTTTTGATTGCCTTGGGTTTATTTTTCTCTACTTGAACTAGAACCTTAGATTACTGATTTGAGAGTTTTTTCTTTTTTTATAATGTGTGCACTTATTGTTAGAAAGTTTCTTCTCAACACTAGTTTAGCTGTATCCCATAACTTTTAATATTTTGTATTTTCAATTTTTTTGAGATGTATTTTTCTTTGAGATGGTTTACATAGAAGTATGTGATTTAGTTTCCAAGTGTTTGGAGATTTTTCTGTTTTCTTTACCTTTCTGCTAGGATTTCTAGTTTCATCTCAGTGTGGTCAGAAAAGACATTTTGTGTAATTTTAATTCAAGCAAATCTATCTGCACCATATTTTTCAACAGCATTTGCTCACTTGATGTCTTCGTATCACGTTTTGGTAATTCTCATAATATTTCGAACTTTTTCATTATTATTATATTTGTCGTAGTGATCTGTGATCAGTGATCTTTGATGTTACTATTGTAATTGCTCTTTTGGGGAGCCACGAACTGCACCCATATAAGACTGCAGATGTAATCAATAAATGTGTGTGTTCTGACTGCTCCGCTGACCAGCAGTCCTCTCATCTCGATCCCTCTCCTCGGCCCTCGCTATTCCCTGTGACACAACAATGTTGAAATTAGGCCAGTTTACTAACCCTGCAATGGCCTCTGTGTGTTCAAGTGAAAGGAAGAGTCATACATTTCTCACTTTCTATTGAAAACTAGAGACGATTAAGCTTAGCGAGGAAGGCACATGGAAAGATGAGATAGGCTGAAAGGTAGACCTCTGGCACCAGACAGACACATTGTGAATGCAAAAGAAAGATTTTCAAAGATAATTAAAAGTGCTACTCCACTGAGCACATGATATGCTGATATGGAAAAGGTTTTAGTGGTCTGGAGAGATCAAACCAGCCACAACATTCCCTTAAGTCAAAGCCTAATCCAGAGCAAGGCCCTAACTCTCTTCACTTCTATGAAGGCTGAGAGAGGTGAGGAAGCTTCAGAAGAAAAGTTTGAAGCAAGCACAGTTTCGTTTATGAGGTTTAAGGAAAGACGCCCTCTCCAAAGCATAGAAGTTGTGAGAAGCAACAAGTGTTGATTTAGAAGCTGCATTAAGTTATCCAGATGATCTAGCTAAAATAAGTAATAAAGGTGGCTACACTAAACAACAGATTTTCAATGTAGATAATACAGCCTTATATGGATGCCAATACGATAGAAGAGATAGATAGCTAGAGAGAAGCCAGTGCCTGGCTTCAGGACTTCAAAGACAGGCTGACTCTTGTTAGAGGAAAATGCAGCTGGTGACTTTAAATTGAAGCCAGTGTTCATTTACCCTTCCAAAAATCCTAGGGCTCTTAAGAATTATGCTAAGTCTACTCTGCCTGTGCTATACAAATGGAACAACAAAGCCTGGATGATAGCACATTTGTTTACAACATGGTATACTGAATATTTTAAGCCCACTGCTGAGATGAGATCACTGCTCAGAAAAAGAGATTCCTTTCAGATGTTACTGCTCATTGACAATGCACCTGGTCACCCCAGAGCTCTGATGGAGATGTGCAAGGTTAATGTTGTGTTCATGCCTGCTAACACAACATCCATTCTGTAGCATGTGGGTCAAGGAGTAATTTCAACTTTCAGGCCTTCTGATTTAAGAAATAACATTTTTAAGGCTATAATGGACATAGTGATTCCTTTGATGGATCCGAGCAAAGTAAATTGAAAATCTTGTGAGAAGTATTCACCACTCTAGATGTCATTAAAAGCATTCGTGATTCATGGGAAGAGGTCAAAATATCAACATTAACTGGAATTTGGAAGAAGCTGATACCAACCCTTATGGATGACTTTGAAGGGTTCAAGACTTTAGTGGAGGAAGTAACTGCAGATGTGGTGAAAGAGCGAAAGAAGTAGAATTAGAAGCGGAGCCCGAAGATGTGACTGAATTGCTGCAATCTCATGATACAAATAATGGATGAGGAGTCGCTTCTTAGGAATGAGCAAAAAAAAAAAAGTAGCTTCTTGAGATGTAATCTGCTTCAGGTGAAGATGCTGTAGAGACTTGAAATGACAACAAAGGATTTAGAATATCACACAGACTTAGTTGATAAAGCAGCAGCAGGGTTTGAGAGGATTGGCTCCAATTTTGAATGAAGTTCTGCTCTGGGTAAAATGCTATTGAATAGCGTTGCATGCTACAGAGAAATCATTCATGAAAGGAAGAGTCAATTGATGTGGCAGACTTCGCTGTTGTCTTATGTTAAAATATTGTCATACCACCCCGATCAGCAGTAGCCACCAACACTGAGGCAAGATTCTCCACCAGCAAAAAGATTGTAACTTGCTGAAGGCTCCAGCAGAGGTTAATATTTCTTAGCAATAAAGCATTTTTTAAGTTAAGATATGAACATTGTTTTTATATAATAGCCATAATGCTATTACAGCTTAATAGACTACAGTATAGGGTAGACATAACTTTTATATGCAGCAGTAAACGAAAAAATTTGTGTGACTTGCTTTTCTGTGATAGTCACTTTATTGCAGTGGTCTGAAACCAAACCCACAAAGATCTTCGACATATGCCTATAGTTTGATCTGTATGTGATTATATGAATGAATTAGGTCTAGAAGCTCTCAGCTTATCCGGCACACCTAAACCATAACTAATAAAACTCCTCTGAGTGTGTTTTCAGCCATAATCTGCATTATTACTTATAGCTCTTATTGTAGTTGATTACCTTTTTTTCCTGTATCAGCTCTGGCCTGAGCATGTACAGTAAAATATTCTAGGAGAGTCATCATAGCTCCAAGGCAGTTCTTCCTGGCTTCATCTCTAACCAAGGTCTTATTTCTTTGACAGGTATTTTTGGGGGCCACATTCCTTATATCTCCAAAATTGGCTCATAGATCACACTGTCGCAGCTTGCTCATAGGCCATGTGACTTCTTTTACATTTTGCACTGAAGTCTGTCTCCCTTCCTCCTGGACTCTGCTTTGTGAACTGACTCCCTTAGTATCATATCCCGAGTCCTCATCCTCCTCAAACACATTCTCTGTCACCAGTATTCACTCTCCTTCCCCAGCCCATAAGGTAGGCTTTTGTTTTGTGGACAAATTAATGTGTTCTTGATCCTTATTTTATGGTTTTGTCCACTCTTAAAAACTAGCTATTTGATTATTGGGAATACAAATCTCTTGAAAGTTTTAGCTATTTGCATTTCTCCATTCTTCACATTGTGAATTTTCTCTTCTCTATCATGATTTTGGCATCTGTACATCAAAGGTTAAAATTAGTCAATTAGGTTTTAAACCTCTTTCTACATGATTTGATCAATCTTTTTTTTTTTTAATCACGTTTTTCATTTTAGATCCATACTTAGGGAACCAAGGATGACATTGGGTTTCTTTGCCATCTGTGATCACTTACCAGTACTCATTACAGTCTTGTTTTGAGGAGGATTTTGAGACTATCAAAGCACACAGAAGCGATGTGATTATTAACTTCTACAAGAAGAAGGCTGGGAGGAGTAGTGTCACTCTTGACTGATGCATTTAGATAGGGGCTCCCATGGTCTCATGATTCTCCACCTTCCTTATATTTTGCTACCCTTATTGAGGGTACCCAAAGGAACATATAGATACTTCAGACTAAGAAGCAGAAGCTTCCAGGTTCTAATGATCTCTTTGCCATGCTTTTCAGAAGGTTGAACACATTAAATCCTCATCCTGATTAATTTGAAACATTTTAACTTTGTATTTGAGATATCTAATTGCTGACTTTTTATCATTTTCATAGGCAGCATTGAGCATATTTGGCATAGTTGGTGGACCACTTCTGGGCTTGTTTGCTTTGGGCATTTTGATTCCCTTCGCCAACTCAACTGTAAGTATAAAGAATGAATATGTATAAAGCTTTCTTTCCCAAATACAATAGCAGCTCTATAATTTTTTCTCAGTTGCAAAGATGTGGTTCCAATGATATCTGTTATTAGTGACTTTCTCAGTGACTTAAGTTACTTATATCGACTTTGCTGGGATGTAGAATGAAGTACTATGCACTGAGACCCTGCATGTGTGAAGCTAAATGAAAACTGCCAAAACAGCATAGTGCAATTTCAGATATTCGCAATGTAACTGAAGGTAACATTTCTTGTGCACTTATCTTTTTGCCCTTCTTGAAAATTAATCATTAACGTTTAAAGAAGGAGATTGCCAGACTCTGATATGTGAAAGTTAAAGGCAGTAGAGCTGAGGATACCTGTGAATATCCAGTTTACATCAGAGAGAAGCAATAAGATCTTCACCACGTTGGCCTGAAAGTTTCTACTCCTGATATTTAAGGCTGTAGCTCCAACATTATAACATGGGTTCTAGCCCCAAAGGGAATAGTATCCAAAAGAGGGAATATGTCTATTCTTCTACAAAGATATAACTGTGCTTCAAAGAATTAAAATGTTTGGAATAAATGAAATTGAAATTATTTCTCTGAAAGGCAGGAGAAAGTCTACTGATTTAGTCCTGGTATAAGGTGTAGTTCAGGGAAAACTGATGATAATGTACATGGTTGATTCAACAGATGGAGAACAACCATAGAACTATGACCTTACATTTAGAATTTCGTTTTCCTCATAATGCATTAGGAATTAGTAGGCAGATACTAATAAGGGCTTTATGTCATCATTATTAATAATAATTCTCAGTGAAATATATGAAAAGCTAGTTTGGTAGAAATTAATTATAATGAAAGAGAATAGTTCGTGTACACCTCAGAATGTTAAAGTTTTGATTAGATGCTTTGTGTTATGAAGTACATAGTAGTTTGTTGATTGTATGAAAAATTTTAAAAGGACTGACTTTTGGTTTTAGACATTTATTTCCTGCACGAGTTGCTCCAGAAAAGCTATAGGCGACTAGGTCCAGCATGCCTCTTTTCAGGGAAGTAAGGCGCTATTACTTTTATTAAAAAGGGAAGTATCTCTTTTTACTATATTCACATTTTTCAACCTTATCTTGGAGTGGTCTTCCTCCTTCCTGCCCTCTCTCCCTCCCTCTTTCCTTCCCTCTGTCTCTCTTTCCTTCCTTTTCTTCCTTTACTTCTCATTACCTTTCCCTTCCTCTTTTTTCCCCTCCCATTCATTAAATCATTCCTTTATTTGTTCAATGAATATTTATAAGATTAGAACACTCCTGGGAGTAGAAAGCACTGAATATTTCTGCCCTCGTGGGTATTATAATTTTGTGTACCCTTGATCAAGTCATGCATAGTGCTGAGAGCAAGCAAGTCTGGCCTGTCACAAACTAGCCATCCTACTATTCCAACCTCCCATTGTTCAAAAATATTTGTTGTATATGCTTTCTTCTTCATAGTCTGTTGCTCATATGGCATGCCATTTGTTCACAGATTAAATAAAAATAGAGGGAACAATTGGCCTGGAGTCATCTACGGGACTGTTGTGGTTATTTGAGTGTGGAGAAGGAGACCAGAACAGAGTGCTGGCCATGGAAACTGAGTGGAACGAATGAAAATATGAGACATATGAAAAAGAAAAATGGGCAGGAATTGGTGACTGGCTAGATAGGGATATGAAAAAGTGGAATGAGATTACAGAGTCCCCACAGCTCTGGGCAAAAGGGGCCCATGTTGCCCTTGACAAGAGGCAGGGCTCTTGCAAGGGAGAATAATTTTAGGATGAAAGCTGGTACATTTGCTTTAGACCATGTTGAGCTTGACCTTCTAATGTTAATTTTCATCTCAAAGCAAACTATATTATTTTTCCTCTAAAAGCACTCTTATTTTGCAGGGTGCGCTTACTGGCCTGCTGGCTGGATTTGTCGTTTCTCTTTGGGTTGGAATTGGAGCTCAACTTTATCCCCCACTTCCTGAGAGAAGTATGCCACTAAGCCTTGAAACCTATGGCTGTAATAGCACACACAATGGATCAAATTGGATGACAACCACAGAAATTCCATTTTCTACTAGTGCTTTTCAAGTAAACAATGTCGTAAGGTATTGAATTAAGCTTTATAATGTGATATTTTTAAAAAATGTATGTGACAAGTAAAGAACCCTAGTTGCTTTTGTCTTGCCTGCAACACTGTGATTTTACCTAATTCTGAAATGCATAGAGCCCATGTGGCTTTTTGGCTATAATATTTTGTTCAGAAATAGCAAAAAAAATTGCCTTATTTTCTTAATCTCAATAGAAACTTCCGCTTCACCTACAGATCCGAGACCACTTGAATAGTAACAACAAAAAAGTTCCGTTATGGGTAAATGCTACTAAATACCTGCTCTGGTTGAATGAAAAAGTGTCTTTGTCAACTGAAAAACCTTTAGAATGAAAAGCTCAATTATAAAAGTAACATTGCATACATAGTCTTTGAAGTACAGCCTTTACTGACTAAAAGCTCCAATTATCTAAATATGTTGGAAACGGCTATTTGTTCCGTTTTAAAGACTCTAAATCTTTAGAACACTAGCAATGAGTTGCAGGTGTGATCTTCCTCCCAGAGTTTTCAGTATGCAATATACTTTTGAGCTTCTCAATACTGATGTCCGATTTAATGAAATGATGAAGACCTGTTGGTAGATGAGTGTTCTATTGTATAGTGGGTGTGAGGACAAGCCTTGTGTAGTGGGTATACAGTTAACCCTTGAACAACACTAATTTGAACTGTGCAGGTTCACTTATATGTGGATTTTTTTTCAATGACTATGTACAATACTGTAAATGTGTGTTCTTTCCTTATGATTTTCTTACTAACTTTCTTTTCTGTAGTTTATTGTAAGAATATAGTATAGAATACATATAACATACAAAATATGTGTTCATTAACTGTTCATATTATTGGTAAAGCTCCTGGTCAACAGTGGGCTATTTGTAGTTAAGTTTTGGGGGGAGTCGAGAGTTATGTGCAGAGTTTCAACTGTGCAGGGGCTAAGTGCCCTAAACTCCAGTGTTGTTCAAAGGTCAGTTGTATAAATGCTTAGCCTTTAGGCATACATGCCATGGATATGTCCAAGGAATGCAAAGTGGAGGCCACTGACCCCAAACTATTGCCCTGGTTTCATCTTTCCTAGAACGAAAGCATTAGAGAATCATTCCCTTTGGATCAAGACATGGTATCTCCTTAAAATGAACACAATCCTGAGAGAAGGAATGTGACCCTTATAATTAGTGATTCATGTCCTGGAGGGAATTCAGCTACGAGAATGCTTGTTAGTGAGAGTTCAAGGCTGGTAAAGTCTGTATGGGCAGAGAGAAAAGGTAGTTCCAGAGTCTGGGGCATATTTAGGTGAGGTTTGACTAGGTGGGCTGCTATGGGCAGAGGGGTAAAGAGATGCAGGGAGCAGTCTGGACAAAGCACTAATGGGGGATCAGTAAGTCCTTAGAGAGAGTCAGAAAGGGAGAAAAGATTAATGGAAGGATAAGTGGGAGAATGTTCAAGACGTTCTTCTTGTTTCACAATTTTGCTTAGCATTTATCCTGATTATGTAAATATCTCTCTTAATTTAAGAATCTAAGGCAAAATGGTTATTCGAATTCCTGAAACAAATTAATTTCCTGAGGTTTACCTGTGTGCCTGGTACCGTAATAATCACTTTTATATTTATATAATACATATTTGTAAATTTATATATTTATAAGATATAAACTTATATCTTTATAAAATACCTCAGCTAATAAACAAGAATTTTTGAGCATGAACTATATACTCAGTCCTAGGCTGGCCATTTATATTATATTCATAAAAAGTCTTCCCCTCCCATTCACCGTGGTTCTTGCCTTGCAGGAAATTATATTAGTAATTTATAATATGCACAGAATAGTTAACTCAGTAAACACAATGAGTATAATAATTAGCTCATGGTAAATAGCTAATAAATAGTTGAAAAATAATTGTTAAAAGTGTGCAAGAGGAGTCAACGATACAGTTGAAGATGAATATTCAGATCCCAGTTCAAATGTCACTTCCTCACACAGGCTTTCTCTGACCACACATTAGAATAGTTCCTTCTTTCCACTCTGTTAATGTCATATTACCTTGCTTTATTTTCTGTATAGCACTTTCCATTAGTGAAAATTACATTGATTAATTAGTTTACTTGTTTATTGTATTTCTCTCCCCATTCGAATGTAAATTTTCCGAGGGCAGGAACCTCATCTACCTTTTTTTATGGTAGACTTTCTAGTGACTCGAACAGTGCCTGGGATATAAAGCAGAGTCGAATGAATACACGTGGACATTTGGTATTATAGTATCCGGTCAAGTTTAAGTCTTACTTTTAATTCCTCATTCAATAAGATAAAATTGGAATAGCAGATCATGACATTAAAAACAGATTATTATATTTTGACTTTGCCCATGAGGATTATTGACACATACTCTTAGTGGCTGGTAGCATTACGTGAAATCTACAGTTACGCTTCTGCTCTCTCTTAGGACTCCACTGATGGATAACTGGTATTCTTTATCATATTTATACTTCAGCACTCTTGGAACTTTGATAGCATTATTTGTGGGAATGCTTGTCAGTCTACCAACAGGTAACTAAACATTAGTATTATATTTACCTCTGTATCAGTTTTTACTATATCTATTTTATAGATACTTATGTCATTTCACTATAGTCCTATTAACAACTAGTCTAATGACTTGTTCCATTTTACTCATGGGAAATTTGAGAGACTGAACTTGAAAGCAGAAAACTCATCTTTATTTAAATCTTTGTTCTGCCATTTACTAGCTGCATGAACTTGGAGAAGTCTGTACAACTACTCTGAGCCTTAGCTATCTTTTGTGTGAAATGAGAATAATAATTATTGACTTGCCTATCTCACAGGTTGCTTGATGACAAAAATAAAATGCTTGAAAAAATTGTATGTAGCTACTACAGTGCTAGGGATTTTACACACATTCTTACAACAACCCCGTGTCATAAGCTTTTCATTGTCCCATACTGACCTTTGTAAACCGTAAAGAAGTATACACAAGTTAGGAGTTATAATTACAATCTTTATATATTAACATAGTGTGAAGGCTATTTTCAGATGCTCATAAACTTTTTAAAAAATAATTAAAAAAACCAAACTGATAAGACATATAGTATACACTGCTCTGTTGGATTGCTATACAGCTGTTCTCCTGGGACTTCATTTTGTCCTCATTTTGTTAATTCTTTTGGTCTACATCCTAGGATGGATTCCCTACTGCCTGTGTCTCATTATTCCTAGTTCTTGTTTACTCCCTTAATTGAATGGAGCACATCCTATAGCACTTTCCTAAGAAAGGATGGATGAGAGAAGAGATTTTGGAAATGATGAATGTCTGGAAAAAATGTCTTTAATTCTCCTTTATACTTGATTGAGTAGGGAATCTAGGTTGAAAATAACCTTCTTGTTTCTTAGAGGATGTCATAATTTTCTTCTAGCTTATTTACTGTGTTGCTGTTGAGAATGTTAAAGCCATGCTACCCGTTGACCTTTGTTTGTGATCCATTCCACAATGACTGCCTGGTCCTAGGCCCGCAGTGAGGTCCTTTCAATCTGATGACCCATGTCCTTCATTATGAGGGCATTTTCCTATATTCTTTCTTTTGTAACTTCCTGCCATTTTCTGTTCTCTTTCTGGAAACTCCTGTTAGTCAAATGTTTGCATCTTGGACAGTTCTTCTAATGTTCTTATCTTTTCTCTCCTGTTTTCCAACTCTGTGTCTTTTAGGTCTACTACATGGAATGTATTTTCAATTACTGTTTCAATAATTCTCAAAGGAGCAGTCTGATCCAGTCTTGAGAATAGTCTGTAAGGGAAGGAAGGCAGGTAGGAGGCTATTGCAGTAATCCAGGTGAGCGATCACAGTGGCTCAGACCAGAGTAGTAGTGTGGAGTTGGTGAAAAGTACTGGGCTCTCTGAGTTCCTACATACCCTCAAGCATATACATCCATAGCAGCCAAACTAGGAGAAGGCAGCTCTATCAAACGTGTAATAACTAGTTAGAAATCGTACACTTTATCAAACATGTAATAACTAGTTAGAAATCCTACACTTTGTCCAAGTACATGTGCTATCTCTGTTTGCTTTATGTTACAAAGCTACTAGCATTGTAACATTTTACAGAATCCTACTACCAATCATTGTTTTCTGGCACCTGGATAGCACTGTCTTTCAAACTTCTGATACTTGTATTTATAATTAATAAGTTATATCGATAATTACTAGTGATATTAATATAATTACATTATAATTATGTTAATTATAATATCGTTACATATTATAATGTATAATTATTATACATTTATAATAAAGTTTGTAGCTATTTGTTATCTCTCAGTTTTAAACTATTCTCTTTCTTTTCAAAAAGGACTGTGATTTTTCTCATAAATAAAATTACCAACACAGTAGGTTTATTCTCTCATCTGTTTTGATATATTTTAAGACAGATTTTAAACTTTTTTCACTGGTAACCTAATTGTTCAGATATGGAATACACCTAGCTGATCTTCATGTTCTGTTTGATCTTTGATCCTTATTCAAGCCGTTTTTTTTCTTTAAGAATAGGGTATTAAAGAATTCCTTTTTCTTTTCCTTAAATGCTTTGGTTCTGATAATCATATACAATAATATATTTTGTTTTAAAAAGTAATTCTCTCTGCAGTGAGCAGGCATCCAGTGATAAAAAACACAACTTCATGAATTTCATAAATAATTCATTCCTACTCCACAGCATCAGTGAGCACCTTGGGGAAAAAAAAATCTAGAAACTTAAAATTCTGAAGCTCCTTGGGAAATATATTTTAAAATCAACTGTAGGATACTAGGAGTCTGTAAGAATTCAGACCAGAGAGACTTGGCGGGCCTTTCAGTTTCACCTAACCATTACTATGCACAATGAGTGTGTCTCTTATCGGAAAAGTAGGGTAATTCCCTAAGTAGACTGCAAGCGATGAGTGCAGTGCTTGTTTTATTCATCTCTGCCTCTCCAGCACCTAGTAGAGTCTTTAGTACATATAGGCACTCAACAATGTTGAGTGAATGAATTTAAAGTTGACCCCATCTCCAGGACAGTAAAGGTTCCCATAATTAGAAGTCTAGTATTTTTCACCAAAGTGGTGGTTCTCAAACATTAGAGGTCATAATGATCACTTCAGAAATTTGGTAAAAATCAGGAGTCAGTGGCCCCACCCCAGAGGTTCAAATTGGGTCAGTACAGGTTGGAGTCCAGGAATCTGCATTTTAAGTACATCTAAATGATTTGGGTAGAG